GTTAGTAGTTTTTTTTATCCTATACAACTGAGGTCACTTGATTAAATATTCTTTAGGTAGGTCACTAGGTCTATATTTTACGTTAGTAGTTTTTTTTATCCTATACAACTGAGGTCACTTGATTAAATATTCTTTAGGTAGGTCACTAGGTCTATATTTTACGTTAGTAGTTTTTTTTATCCTATACAACTGAGGTCACTTGATTAAATATTCTTTAGGTAGGTCACTAGGTCTATATTTTACGTTAGTAGTTTTTTTTTTTATCCAATACAACTGAGGTCACTTGATTAAATATTCTTTAGGTAGGTCACTAGGTCTATATTTTACGTTAGTAGTTTTTTTTATCCTATACAACTGAGGTCACTTGATTAAATATTCTTTAGGTAGGTCACTAGGTCTATATTTTACGTTAGTAGTTTTTTTTATCCTATACAACTGAATGGGACGGCATGGTCTAGAGCGCTAGACTTCTAACTCGAAAGTCTCGAGATCGAATCCGGTGTTCAAGTCAGCAAAACGTCCCCTAGTCCACCCAGCTATGATGGGTACCTAACTCACGTTAGGGAAAGTAAAAACGGCTGGGCATTGTGCTGACCGCACTATTACTTCATATTCCAAGGTCACAGCAACAAGTGAACTTCACTTGCCCCAAAAACGTCAGCGCGAAAATATAATTTTTTACTGATTACAAAACTGAGGCAAATAGATAAAATCTTCCTGTGGTGGGCCAACTAGGTCTACGTGATACATCATTTGTTTTGTTTGTTCTACCCCTGCTCATCTTGCGCATATCTTGCAGATCGCGTGTTGCTATAAGAAAACTCCATAACTTGTACACTTTTTGTTGCTCGCTATGGCAGGTAGCGTACAATTGTGATCGCGTGTAATCAAACAAAAACTTCCACCGTCCTCGGGTGCAGTAGTGCTAACTTAACTATGGTAGGCTTTTTTGTCATGTTTATCAAATCAGGAGACAGAGAGTCCTTAGGTGCAATTTTTCTATGGCGTACCGTTTTGTGATGTTTTTATGGTTGTACATTTTGTCGTGGGTTCTATATCACAAAACTTACATTGCCAAGTAAAAAATTGTAAAGGATTAGAAAAACCAAATTCCTCTTCACGCGTACAAATAAGTGATGGTGTGTCCATTTTGTGTTACATTTTTTTTCTGTGGCAATATAAACATTTCTACCTGGCGAAGATGATTAGCTTGAAATATGACGTAAAGAATCCGTCTAGATTTGTATTAGCTTTCTTAAAATAATTTTTTAAACATGTCATGTATTTTTTTTTAAAAAGCTGATGTAGAGCTGTGTAGAAGTGTAGCGTCATGGCCGGTTTGACTGTGTGTGTGTGCGTGCGTGCGTGTGTGTGTCTGTGTGTGTTCCAACACGTAAAGAACCAAACAATTGCCCCTCGTTTTTCCCTCTCTCCCCCCCCCCACCCCCTTCTCTGCGACAGAAAATGTAAATTTTCAATAACGAATTAGTTTCACTACGCAGATACCAGTACACAGAAAATGTGTCGGTCGTGGCCTTTGTCACACCTTTAATAAAACCAGGAGCGGACATATGAATTAGGGGGGGGGGGTCGGGGGGGGGAGACTATAATAGCACAATTTATAGTATTATCGAAACATATTGATGCATACATTATAAAAGGTGTAGAGAGTATAGAAGATGGGTGGACTACAGTGAAGTTATTTTGACTTTTCCTCTACCGATGTGTATACCAAGTGAAGTCAAACCATGTGTTAAAAACAAGAAAACGAAAATAGAATATGAGTAATGATGTTTTTCCATGACTCCCCCCCATCCCCCACCCTCTGTCCTGTGGGTTGTCAATATTGATCAGATGTTGCTGTAGATATGTGGTGTGTGGTCAGCTGGTGGTCAAGGCAGTGGTCACCACATGAATAGGTGGGAATAGGTTGACACCTGGGTATTCTATCCGAGGAGGTGGGGTGGCGGATACTAGTGTTCCGGTGATTGTAGTGTCCGAATAGTGTATCTATACATACCGTCGTAGTCTACAGCTGATGTTGTATCTGAACAATGATCTGTGTAGTGGTGTGGTGGTGAAGAATGCTCGGCTACACACGTTGACCAGTTGACCAGGGTACGCTGTTGTACACACGAGCAGGGAGCGTTTTAGTGTGGAGGACATCGTTCTTACCTAGACACCTAGTTAATTTGTACAGGTTTCGTGTTCATCAGCATTCTTCCAATGGATACATTCATTGTATGACGCTTATTTACATGGGATTATGACTGTATTTGAAATTATTCGTATGGAGTCACAGTGAATGATTGTTTATTATCACTTGATATGGAGGCATATTGATTGTGCTGAGAATAATTTATTCGGGGAGTCATTGTGTCTAAAGTCCTGTCTTTAATACCACGTGACTGTCAAGTTTTGAGATTGAGGGAAATGAGGGAGTTACTAGACATTGACAAGATTCTGCAAGACTTGAACACTGAGGTGAGTCCTGGGTTACTGCAGCAGTTTTCTCCCTTGTGTTTAGTGCTGTACAGGTGATCTTCCCTGTTTCAGCTATTTCTCGTTTTTTCTGTTCAGTGTCAGTTTGCTCCGTTACCTTATATTCTGTACCAGTTTCCTCGCTTTCTTTATATTCTGTATCAGTTTCCTCCCTTACCTTATATTCTGTACCAGTTTCCTCCCTTACCTTATATTCTCTACCAGTTTTCTCCCTTTCCTTATATTCTCTACCAGTTTTCTCCCTTTCCTTATATGCTGTACCAGTTTTCTCCCTTTCCTTATATTCTCTACCAGTTTTCTCCCTTCCCTTATATTCTCTACCAGTTTTCTCCCTTTCCTTACATTCTCTACCAGTTTTCTCCCTTTCCTTACATTCTCTACCAGTTTCCTCCCTTTCCTTACATTCTGTACCAGTTTCCTCCCTTTCCTTATATTCTCTACCAGTTTCCTCCCTTTCCTTACATTCTGTACCAGTTTCCTCCCTTTCCTTATATTCTCTACCAGTTTCCTCCCTTTCCTTACATTCTGTACCAGTTTCCTCCCTTTCCTTATATTCGGTACCAGTTTTCTCCCTTTCCTTATATTCTCTACCAGTTTCCTCCCTTTCCTTATATTCTGTATCAGTTTTCTCCCTTTCCTTATATTCTGTATCAGTTTCCTTCCTGTCCTTATATTCTGTACCAGTTTCCTCCCTCTCCCTATATTCTGTACCAGTTTTCTCCCTTTCCTTATATTCTGTATCAGTTTTCTCCCTTTCCTTATATTCTGTATCAGTTTCCTTCCTGTCCTTATATTCTGTACCAGTTTCCTCCCTCTTCCTATATTCTGTACCAGTTTTCTCCCATGCTAAGTCCACCATATCTATTCCTCTAGTGACGTTTATTTCAGTCCCCTGCCTGAGCCAGCTAATCAAGCGTAAGATTCTCATCGTTTGTCACAGTCAGCATATCCCTTTCCTTGTTCCTCTCCAGCATTCATCTCAGGGGCTAGAGTTGTCAGACCTGAGTATAATTTAATTGGCACTATCTCTCATTTCCAGGTGTCTGTCACTCAGGTGTGTGGAGCTAGGGGGAGGGGAGAGGGGTTAATGGCAAATGTGTTTAGGGTTTTAAAAGATTGCATAATATTCCAAATGTTGTCTGGGTCTAGGTTTTATCTGTGGGGGATCTATACATAGCAAATGGTGTCTGTCTACGTTAGATCAATAAAGTTTATTGCCGTTGTCAATTACACACCGAAGGTTGCATTGTACCCTGTTTTACATAACTATAAGCCAAGAACCATAACTGTCAGGGTTGCAGGAGTTACTATTCCTTAAACAGGAGCTCTGCCTGTACTAGAGCTTGATTCGTTGCTTGGTGCCAAATGGTGCCACACATTGAGATCTAGCTACATGTGATGTTATTTCCACTTTCCAACATTGCTGTAATCCAAACCAGTTTCTTGTTCATTTGGCCATCTGTCCTTTTCTTTTGGCCAAATCTTTTAACTATTTAGCCAAATCTTTTCGCTACTTGGCTAAAGATTTTGCTTTTGCTAAAACACTCATTAGTCCATTTTTTCTAATTAATGTGCCTGTTATGTCATTAGGGTAAATACTAAACTTTCCTCTAACCCTAATCCACAATCCTAATATTATTTTACCCACTATTAACACTAGGGCAAATGTATTGAAAAAGTCTGTTGTCATGAAAATGACTAGAGAAATATTTCTATTAGTACCACTTTGTTCCTGCTTTATTGCTCTGACATTTGTTGGAATTACACCATGCTAGTATCTAGACCCAGCATCATGTCTTTAATAGTCCTTAACCCCAAAGCTCCAGGATTCCTTGGATATCTGGCATAGCATCCCCCTCATCCCCCGCCCCCTCCCCACCAGTCAGATAAAAAGACCCTGTAGAGTCAGCTGTATCTGCCTTACCTGTGTGTACAGAAGAAAGCTTTATTGCTCTCTTGTCTAAATGTCCAGACTTTTATCCATCCGTGTCTATCAGGTACAGCATTCTGTGGATAATGTTAAGATCCGCCTTGAATTTTTTTGAGATTCCCGGGTGTATGTTAGATAATAAGCTGGTGTAGGGTTGCAGTGTTGTGGGGATTGGCAGGAGTGTGTTAGTTTTACAAGTTGGTTGGGGGGGGTGGGGGGGTGAAGGTCTTGATATCTACATCGCTACCACTCATTAATTTATTTATTTCAAGGTCTTGATATCTACGTCGTTACTACTCATTGACTGATTTATTTGAAGGTCTTGATATCTGGGTAGCTACAATAGGGCTTTGTTGTAGTTTTCAATCTAAAAAAATCAGGCTTGCTTCTATCATTTTTATTTTTTCAGGATTATTTTTAAAGTTTAATTTATTTTTAAAGTAACATTGAGAAATGTTTAGGGATATTTTTTTTCCTTACATTTTTAAAATGAATTTTTTTTAAGCAGATTTAATATTTTTGTGCTGTTTTAATTAACCTTAATGAATAAATGTTAATTAATTCCCAGGCCAGGTCAGAAGACGATGTCAAGTCTGAGAAAGAATGGCTGGACACCGAGAAGGTTTGGCTCATGCACCGCGGAGGGTTCTCAGAGGTGTATCTGCTTAAATCTGATGGCACACTAGGGGAGGGCAAAGTGCGGGTCAGGCTTGAGACAGGGGACATCATCGAGGTGGACGAGGATGACATTGAGAAGGTAAAACATGGCAGATGTTAATGTTGTATCTCTTGACTTGGATTTGTTATGGGAAAAGTTGAAAAGTCAACCCTTTGGAAATTTCATTCTTATGACACTTAATTACACTTAATTACATATCCATTTATTTGAGAGATGTTAATGTTATTTATGTAATTGATGTAACTGCCAGTCACATATGCAATTGACATTATTGTGATAGTTGTGTCATTCATATGACAGACACAAATGTCAACTATGGGACAGATACAAATGTCAATGATGTGATCAATGTAAATGCTATTCAGGTGTATGTTAGTATGTATGTCAGGTGTATGTCTTACCTGTTAAATGTACTAGTGGTGTTGGCAGTGTGACATTGTAGAATGCCACCCATCCCCTCTGTAGCTAGCTGTGGTGTAATGATCAGCCTGGTCTGTACTGTGTTCTTATCTCCTCTACCAGGCCAACCCACCCCAGTTTGACAGAGCTGAGGACTTGTCCTCCCTGCGCTACCTCAACGAGTCCAGCGCCTTGCACACTCTACGCCAGCGGTACGCAGCAAACCTCATCCACACGTACGCTGGGCCACATCTTGTCATTATAAATCCCGTACAGCAGCTGCCCATATATGCTGACAAGGTAAGGGATGCAACCTAATGTAGCACACAAGGTAAGGGACACAACCTAATGTAGCACACAAGGTAAGGGACATAACCTAATGTTGCTGACAAGGTAAGGGACACAACCTAATTTAGCTGACAAGGTAAGGGATGCAACCTATTTTAGCTGACAAGGTAAGGGACACAACCTAATGTAGCTGGCAATGTAAGGGACACAACCTAATGTAGCTGACAAGGTAAGGGATGCAACCTATTTTAGCTGACAAGGTAAGGGACACAACCTAATGTAGCTACACGGTAAGGGACACAACCTTTTTTAAATGAAAGGTAAGGGACACAACCTACTGTAGCTGACAAGGTAAGGGACACAATCTAAGTTAAGAGCCACTGAGTTCTGTGTCCATAAATATTTAGAAATAAAGTAATCACACTTTATAATGACTTTTTTGACGTCAACCATTTCAAAATTATCAAGAATGCTAGTGTCAGCATTAACTTTGGTCATAAAAATTGTGAATAATCCTTTTAGTGGTTTAAAGTTAAAATTATTCTTCATAGAATTCTGTCTTAAATTAAGAGAGGGGAAATAACTCTAATGTATCTTGCATACAAATCTCCTAATTAATTTATCTTGCATAATAATCTCATTAAAAGCCACTTAAAGAGAAAGGAAATTTAATCTATCTTGCATCAAAATTCCACCTAAAGTATACAATTATGATAATCCGAGTCGACTAATCCTACAGTACAAGCTGATTTGAATGTGTTGTCTCAGATCATTCAGATGCTGAAGGGCTGCAAGCAGGAGGACATGCCCCCCCATGTGTTCTCCATGGGCCAGATGCTGTACAGGGACCTGGTCAACAACAGGAAGGACCAGTCTCTGGTGCTGCTGGGCAGGAGTGGGAGCGGCAAGACAACCAACGCCCAGCACATCATGCACTACCTCATCACTGCTGCTGGCAATGTTAACAGTGTCTTCTCAGGTAATGTTAACAATGGTTTTATAGGTAATGTTAACAGTGTGTTCTCAGGTAATGTTAACTGTGTGTTCTCAGGTAATGTTAACAGTGTGTTCTCAGGTAATGTTAACAGTGTGTTCTCAGGTAATGTTAACTGTGTCTATAGGGGTAATGTTAACTGTCTCTGCAGAGGTAATGTTAACAGTGTGTTCTCAGGTAATGTTAACAGTGTGTTCTCAGGTAAGGTTAACAGTGTGTTCTCAGGTAATGTCAACAGTGTGTTCTCAGGTAATGTTACCAGCATTTTCACAGGTAATGTTAACAGTGTTCAGGTAATGTTAACAGTGTTTTCTTAGGCTTTGTTAACTTTGTATGTACAGGTAATGTTAACAGTATCTTTATAGGTAATGTTAACATTGTCTGTATGGTAATATTAATTGTTTTCTAACATTAATTATCATTTACGTTTAATAAAGTAGAACATGGTAAACCTATTAAAGTTGACTTTGTGTACACTTAATAAAGTTGAATATGTGTACACTTAATGAAGTAGACTTTGTGTACATAATGAAGTAACACTTTTAAACATTTACAGTGGAGAAACTTGGCTGTGTGTACACACTCCTCCATGCTTTTGGCAACAGTCGGACTGCTCTCAATGTCAATGCCAGCAGGTTCACACAGATCTTCACTCTAGACTTTGATAACTCAGGACAGATTGGGTCAGCATCAGTGCAGGTATGTTTTCTTTAAGGTCTTTCCAGGTCACAGGTGCACTCAGGTCACCTGTCACAGGTGTGTTGAGATCACCTCCCTCAGGTCACCTGTCATAGGTGTGTCCATGTCACCTCCCTTAGGTGTGTCCATGTCACCTCTCTTCAGGTGTGTCCAGGTCACCTGTCACAGGTGTGTTGAGATCACCTCCCTCAGGTCACCTGTCATAGGTGTGTCCATGTCACCTCCCTTAGGTGTGTCCATGTCACCTCCCTTAGGTGTGTCCATGTCACCTCCCTTAGGTGTGTCCATGTCACCTCCCTTCAGGTGTGTCCAGGTCACCTGTCACAGGTGTGTTGAGATCACCTCCCTCAGGTCACCTGTCTCAGGTGTTTGCAGGTCTCATGTGTCTCCGGATAGCATGTGTCACCTGTAACAGGTAATCTGTCACACGTGTCCAAGTCACCTGTCACATTTTGGTCCAGGTAACCTATCACAGGTGTGTCCAGCAGTCACCTGCTTCTGGTATTTCCAGGTCACCTGTCATAGGTGTGTCTAGGTTAAATTATCCAAGTAACCATGTCATTTGTTAGAGGTGTGTCTAGGTTAAATTATCCAAGTAACCATGTCATTTGTTAGAGGTGTGTCTAGGTTAAATTATCCAAGTAACCATGTCATTTGTTAGAGGTGTGTCTAGGTTACATTTTCCAAGTAATCATGTCATTTGTTAGAGGTGCGTCCTATGTTTTGTGAATTACGCAGTGTAACAGCTTATGTTTTCTGTCACATAACATAACCATCACTTTATGCCATAGCTTAACCTTTATTAACTTGTTGCCATTGACCTCTATTTAACTTGCCATAACTTGCCATAACATGATGTCTAACTGTGTGAGCAGATGCTGATGTTTGAGAAGACGAGAATGGTAAAGAGACCAGAGGGAGAACCCACCTTCAGCATCTTCTACCAGCTGTTGGCTGGGGCAGACACTAACCTGAGGTAGGTGACTCAAACATCAGGTTCCTATCTCACCTGTTGTCACACTGGGGCAGACACCAACCTGAGGTAGGTGACTCAAACATCAGGTGACTCAAACATCATTTTCCCATCTCCTGGGTGTACAGCTGTTGTCACACAGGGGCAGACACCAACCTGACTCAAACATCATGCTCCCATCTCTATTGGATCATTAACTCACACAGTTGTGAACTGCTGAAGTAGTGTGGCACTTGTGAATAGGTTCCACACCTACAAGAGGAAGCAGGCAAGAAAAAAGAGACACCCTGTTGCCTGCCTTCCTCTTGTTGGTGTGGTACCTGTCCACATTTTGTGTTGCTGGGGGTGATGATGGTGTGCCCACTGCTATAGTTCCTGGTTCCAAAGCTCATAGAACCCTTCATTATCTGTCTATTTATATATTTATTATGTGTATATATATATATATATATATATATATATATATATATATATATATATATATATATATATATATATATATATATATATATATATATATATATATATATATATATAAATGAAGTATTTATTCTGTTTATTGTGTTTCTATGGTAACCTAGACTCTATTTCTAGGACTGAGCTCCAACTCCAGAATCTGACAGAATCCAACCTGTTTATGACAGCACCACAAAAGGTAGGCCAGGGGTGTTGAAGTATGGGGTGGGGCAAGCAGGGGGGGGGGGGGTCGGTCATCTGATAGTCTGACACTACTTTTAGTGCATTGTACATTGTTGTCTTGTTTGATTTTTTTTCTTTCTGGATTTTGTTTCAATATATATTGATCCCATAATCATTGATCCTTCTTTTACTAACTTTCTTACAGTCACATGGCTAGTTTTTGTAACAGAATTACAGAAAACACTTTAGAAATTATTGTTTTTAATTTTCAAAATTTGGTATGATGAAATATCATTAAATTGATGATAATTAATTAGCGTTTTATTTAATTAAGGGTTGTGAGGACTTGTCTAAGTCTTCTAAAACCTCTCTCTGTTCACAATTTGACAGACTGAGGACAAGCAAAGGTTTTCTGAGGCTTGGGCTAAAGTTTTGCAATCTTTTGACACCCTAAGCTTCACTGCAGAGGAGGTCAAGGCCATCTTGTCCGTGCTGGCGGCCATCTATCACCTGGGCAGTGCAGGTGCTACTAAAGGTGAGCGCTGATTCAACTGGGAGCAGAACATTACCTCTCCCCCCCCCCTCCCCAAACACATTACCCTGCATTATTACCTTCCTGTTTATTATCCAACTGTATATATTCCCCTGCCAGAAAAACTGCAGTAGGACATTACCCTTTTGACAATTACCACCACCCCCCCCCCCAGCCATTTAGAGAGATTAAGATTGGGCTAGGATAAGGACTAGGAAAAGAGGGATAGGGAGCCAAATAGGGATAGGAAAATGTATAATATGTTTTGTAAACATAGAGGGGTAATTACCCAAATGGAATTGACAGGTGTAGTAATGAATGGAGGTGGGGGTAAGGTAAGACCCAGCTGTGTTCTTAGTTACATTGAGGTTACATTAGTTTAGTCGCCATGCTAGACCTGTGTTTCCCTGTCTTGTCCAGGCCCAAACAACAAAGCCCAGTTTGCCAAGCCTGCAGCCTCGCAGAGAGCAGCCGCCCTGCTGGGTACCACAGTGGAGGAGCTGAGCAAGTCTATTTTCTCTAGCGGGGGCTCGTCCACACTCACACGAAGCACCTCACTCAGGTGGGTGTGTCCTTGTTAGGTCATCTAGCCATCTCATACCATCAGTTTCATGGGCATGTGCACCATCTTGTACCATCAATTTATCCTGACCACACCATCCTCATTTGTACATCATCTTTGTCTCATACTATTGTCTGTACCAGCATACAACCAACTGTACTATCATACTTTTATCTGTACCATTATACCATCATCTGTACCATTATACCATCATCTGTACCATTATACCATCATCTGTACCATTATACCATCATCTGTACCATTATACCATCATCTGTACCATTATACCATCATCTGTACCATTATATCATTGGCTGTACCATACCATCATCTTTACCATCATAAAATCATCATTTGCTATCATACAATAAAAGCTTCATCTTTATCATAATTTCAGCCATTTCTTACCATCTTCTCTACCTTTGTACCATTATTTTTACCATACCATCACACCATCATCTCTAACAACCCCCCATCCTGTTGTCAACAGAGTTAGTGCTGGTATGGAGCGGCCCAGCTACCTACCATCTGATGCCAACGCCACACCCCAGGAATGTCTTGAAGGTTTTGTTGTCGGCCTCTACTCCGATGTGTTCAGTGCTATTGTCACACTCATTAACAGGTACCCCATGTCATGTTTTAATGCTATTGTCACACTCATTAACAGGTATCACATGTTTTCAGTGCTATTGTCACACTCACTAAAACTGCCACCACTCCCCCCCTCTCCTCCACACACACACAGACACACAATGCCAGCACAATTTAAACCAGAACCTGGACCAATCAACAACACCAGCACAATTTAAACCAGAACCTGGACCAATCAACAACACCAGCACAATTTAAACTAGAACCTGGACCAATCAACAACACCAGCACAATTTAAACCAGAACCTGAACCAATCAAAAGCACCAGCACAATTTAAATTAAAACCTGGACCAATCAACAACACCAGCACAATTTAAACCTGAACCTGGACCAATCAAAAGCACCAGCACAATTTAAACCACAACCTGAACCAATCAATTTCTGCCTCCTACAGGTCCCTATCCTCCAATGTTCGAGCACTAAACTCAGTGACCATAGTGGACTGTCCAGGATTCCAGAGCCTGCCTGTAGGAGGAGGGCGTAACTCTGGGGCCACCTTTGAAGACCTGTGCCACAACTACACCAACGAGAGGCTGCAGGCTTTTTTCCATGAGGTTACCCTGTCCACCCCCCAGGACAGGTATAGGGAGGTCAGTCTGTGTGTTGTTTTCATTGGTTACTGTGAGAGTGTTGTAGGAAGCTGTCCTGGCCTATCAGAAGCTCAGCTGTCCCTTTAGTATACTGTTTCATAAGCTCTGCTCTTCCAGTTCAGGCCGTTCTCCCTGGTCTTGTTCTTTGTTCTGACTTGAAACTTTGTTGGGGATCAACTACACATTAAACATCATTGTTAGCCTAACCTAGGCCATTAGCCTAACCTAGGCCATTAGCCTAACCTAGGCCATTAGCCTAACCTAGGCCATTAGCCTAACCTAGGCCATTAGCCTGACCTAGGTCATAACCCTATTGACCTAGAACATTAGCCTTCAGATCTAGGTCATTAGCTTTTTTGCTCTTGGTCATAACCCTTTTGACCTTGGTCATTAGCCTTTTGGTCTAGGTCATAACCTCATTGACCTATGCCATTAGCCTTCAAATCTAGTCCATTAGCCCAACCTACACCATTGTCCTTCTGACTGTGGTCATTAGCCTTCTGACCTGGTCCAATAGCCCAACCTACACCATTGTCCATCTGACTGTGGTCATTAGCCCACCCTACACCATTGTCCTTCTGACTGTGGTCATGTACTTGCAGGAGGACATAGAGCTGGATGTTGAGATGTTACCCACCAATGTGTCTGGTATAGTCAGTCTGTTAGACAAGCCACCACAGCAGGGACTTGTAAGTTGTCAGTTTTTTTTTATTACCTTGGAATTTTCTTTTAGTTCACTGAGTTAAAGCTTTTTTTTTTCAACTTAAATTGGAATATTTTTTAACATGTTTCAAAATACAAAATCATTTTATTATTATAACAAAAATTATATATATTCATTTATATAATTCATTAATTTTTTTTTGTCAAATAAGACAAAGTTCTAAATCAATAAAAGATTTTATTAATAATAGATTAGATTACCGTTTAATATATGTAGATTTATTTTCAATTTTTCGTTGATTGAAATTAAAAGTATATAAAAATAATTTGCTTTTTTCTTCTTTAAACTTAAAATTATTTTTAAGGTATATATAAAACTACAAAATCCTTTTATTACTATCACAATAAATTATTAAAATGATTTTTAGAACTGTCAATGGTTATTCTGAAACTACCATTTAAAGTTTTTAAAAAATCATGAACAAGTTAATTATATTTTTGTGTGTGTAAAACTGTTTGAAATTGTTGATGAGAACTGTCAATAGTTTGAAATATTATTCTGATACTACCATTTAAAATTTTTAAAAATATACTTATAAATTAGTGAGTGTGTAAAACTGGTTGAAATTGTTGCAGATGAGAACTGTCAATAGTTTGAAACTACCATTTAAAGTTAAAAAAAATATACTTATAAATTAGTGAGTGTGTAAAACTGGTTGAAATTGTTGCAGATGAGAACTGTCAATAGTTTGAAACTACCATTTAAAGTAAAAAAAATATATACTTATAAATTAGTTAGTGTGTAAAACTGGTTGAAATTGTTGCAGATGAGAACTGTCAATAGTTTGAAACTACCATTTAAAGTTAAAAAAATATACTTATAAATTAGTTAGTGTGTAAAACTGGTTGAAATTGTTGCAGATGAGAACTGTCAATAGTTTGAAACTACCATTTAAAGTTAAAAAAATATACCTATAAATTAGTTAGTGTGTAAAACTGGTTGAAATTGTTGCAGATGAGAACTGTCAACAGTTTAAAACTACCATTTCAAGTAAAAAAAAAATATACTTATAAATTAGTGAGTGTGTAAAACTGGTTGAAATTGTTGCAGATGAGAACTGTCAATAGTTTGAAACTACCATTTAAAGTTAAAAAAAAATATACTTATAAATTAGTGAGTGTGTAAAACTGGTTGAAATTGTTGCAGATGAGAACTGTCAATAGTTTGAAACTACCATTTAAAGTTAAAAAAATATACTTATAAATTAGTTAGTGTGTAAAACTGGTTGAAATTGTTGCAGATGAGAACTGTCAATAGTTTGAAACTACCATTTAAAGTTAAAAAAATATACTTATAAATTAGTTAGTGTGTAAAACTGGTTGAAATTGTTGCAGATGAGAACTGTCAACAGTTTAAAACTACCATTTAAAGTAAAAAAAAAATATACTTATAAATTAGTGAGTGTGTAAAACTGGTTGAAATTGTTGCAGATGAGAACTGTCAATAGTTTGAAACTACCATTTAAAGTTAAAAAAAAATATACTTATAAATTAGTGAGTGTGTAAAACTGGTTGAAATTGTTGCAGATGAGAACTGTCAATAGTTTGAAACTACCATTTAAAGTTTAAAAAAAATATACTTATAAATTAGTGAGTGTGTAAAACTGGTTGAAATTGTTGCAGATGAGAACTGTCAATAGTTTGAAACTACCATTTAAAGTAAAAAAAAAATATACTTATAAATTAGTGAGTGTGTAAAACTAGTTGAAATTGTTGCAGATGAGAACTGTCAATAGTTTGAAACTACCATTTAAAGTTAAAAAAAAATATACTTATAAATTAGTGAGTGTGTAAAACTGGTTGAAATTGTTGCAGATGAGAACTGTCAATAGTTTGAAACACCATTTAAAGTAAAAAAAAAATATACTTATAAATTAGTGAGTGTGTAAAACTGGTTGAAATTGTTGCAGATGAGAACTGTCAATAGTTTGAAACTACCATTTAAAGTAAAAAAAAAAATATACTTATAAATTAGTGAGTGTGTAAAACTGGTTGAAATTGTTGCAGATGAGAACTGTCAATAGTTTGAAATATTATTGTGAAACTACCATTTAAAATTTTTTTAAAATCATTAACAAGATACTTATAAATTTGTGAGTGTGTAAAACTGATTGAAATTGTTAATGAGAACTGTCAATAGTTTGAAACTACCATTTAAAGTTGAAAAATTGTTGCAGATGAGAGCCACGTCTGGAGACAGCAAGAATCCAGACAAGAAAGGTCTGCTGTGGATCCTGGACGAGGAGGCCGTGTACCCTGGGGCCAGTGAGGACAGCTTCATGGAGCGCCTGCTTCAGCACCACAGTGAGCAGCCTGTCAGAAGTAAGTCTAGCCACACCCACAATTTTAGCTGCCACACCCACAATTTTAGCTGCCACACCTCCACAGTGAGCAGCCTGTCAGAAGTAAGTCTAGCCACACCCACAATTTTAGCTGCCACACCCACAATTTTAGCTGCCACGCCCACAATTTTAGCTGCCACACCTCCACAGTGAGCAGCCTGTCAGAAGTAAGTCTAGCCACACCCACAATTCTAGCTGCCACACCTCCACGGTGAGTAGCCTGTCAGAAGTAAGTCTAACCACACCCACAATTTTAGCTGCCATAACTCCACAGTGAGCAGCCTGTCAGAAGTAAGTCTAGCCACACCCTCCATTCTAGTACTCCTTTTGTAGAGATCCCAGTCTATTAGAAATATTGATTGGTTCTTTCATGTAATGATGGCTGAATCCAAAAGTTCGTCATAACAGAACCCAAAATTGCTTTGTCTAACTAGCATGATGTTACATTTTCACTACATTTTCATATGTGACTCCCTCAATAGCATATATAAATATTACAATATGTGATCTTCTGAATGTATTCTACTTCAATTATCTGCGATTCAAGATCAGCCACATGAATTAGCATTTTATCCCACTTACAGTTTCATTGTTTACACAAAATGTTGTATGTTTTTTTTAGCTGAGTGATGTAGTTTGTGTCCTAACTAATGTGTTGGCTCTCTCCCCCCCCCCTCCCACCCCCACAGAGGACAGCCTCCTGCGTAAAGGTTCACTGGGCCACACCTTTATCCTGAACCACAACATGGGCACCACCCCTGTACAGTACAACGCCCAGGGCTGGCTCAAGGCCTGCAGGGAGAACCCCATGACCAGGAACGCCAGTCTGGTCCTTCAGGACTCCAAAAAGTGAGACTTGTTTATGGTAGACATATTTAGTTTTATGGTAAACATGAGCAAAGTGAGACTTATTTAGTTTTTTTTTTGTAGACATGAGCAAAGTGAGACTTATTTAGTTTTATGGTAGACATGAGCAAAGTAAGACATTCCGTTCTATGGTTGAGTTAAGCTAACTCCTCTAAGCTACAGCAAAGTGAGACTTATTCAGGAGTTTTATGGTAGATGTGAGGCAGCTCCCCTAAAAACTTTGAGCCAAATTTAAAATCACCGTTGAAATTTGTTGATTTAAATTAGACAAATGGCTCAGCGTTTTATGTGTATTTTTATTTTTTGTCTTTACTTTTTGTGTATTTTTACTTTTTTGTTTATCTTTACTTTTTGTGTATTTTTATTTTTTGTGTATCTTTATTTTTTGAGCGTCTTTATTTAGAGCATCTTTACTTTTTGTGTATCTTTAATTTTTGTGTATCTTTACTTTTTGTGTATCTTTATTTATTGTTTATCTTTACTTTTTGTATATCTTTATCTTTATGTTAGCAATGTTCATCTACAATGCGCAACTTATCTTCACTTCATGTAGATGCCATTAACCTTTAAGTTCAAACATTTTCCTAGTTTGTTAATTACAACAATTCTGTATTAACCCTAATCAGTTTACCTGGAACAAACTCTTAACCTCATTAATTAAAAGTGACCTAACTAAACATTTAATTTGTTTTTTCCAGACCCAATTTGGCCCAGTTGTTTACAAGTTTGAAAGGTCAAAGTGCAGGCATTGTCAGTGGGTCAGTTGTAGGTATGGAAGGTTCCACTTCACTCAGGAGGGTAGGCAGCATGAGGAGGACTTTCATCTCAGGCCAAGCAGGTCTGAAGAAGAAATCTGTTTGTCTGCAGGTCAAGTTTAATGTGGTGAGTGACCAGTGCGCAGTCAGTTGATTGTGGTGGGTGGGTAAACATTCATGTGTTGAATGTGGTGAGTGGGGAAACATTTGTCTGTTGAAATGTGGTGAGTGGGGAAACATTTGTCTGTTGAAATGTGGTGAGTGGGTAAACATTCATGTGTTGAATGTGGTGAGTGGGGAAACATTCATCTGTTGAATGTGGTGAGTGGGTAAACATTCATGTGTTGAATGTGGTGAGTGGGTAAACATTCATCTGTTGAATGTGGTGAGTGGGGAAACATTCATGTGTTGAATGTGGTGAGTGGGTAAACATTCATCTGTTGAATGTGGTGAGTGGGGAAACATTCATGTGTTGAATGTGGTGAGTGGGTAAACATTCATCTGTTGAATGTGGTGAGTGGGGAAACATTCATGTGTTGAATGTGGTGAGTGGGGAAACATTCATGTGTTGAATGTGGTGAGTGGGGAAACATTCATCTGTTGAATGTGGTGAGTGGGTAAACATTCATCTGTTGAATGTGGTGAGTGGGGAAACATTCATGTGTTGAATGGGGTGAGTGGGTAAACATTCATGTGTTGAATGTGGTGAGTGGGTAAACATTCATGTGTTGAATGTGGTGAGTGGGTAAACATTCATGTGTTGAATGTGGTGATTGGCTAACCAGTGGTCAGTTGAATGAAGTGAGTGATCACTGGTTATCTTAATGTGTATAGGTGACCAGTGGTTAATCTCAAGTTTATGTCATTGGTAATGGGTTTCTAATTAATTTCACCACATTGACTTTTGGTTGAATTTTGCAAATGGTGTTATTTAGAGAATGTTTATCAGAATAAGTACCAGCCATACGCATACATTTCTATAACCTGATGATCATTCTTTAATCCCTTGGGTAAGATTTAAAAGGTATGCCAGGATTGGTGTTAATATATCCATACTGGTTTACAAATCTTCAAGAATGGGTAATCTACCAGTCCTGAAAAAAAATTAAATCTTTTCAGCTGTTCTCATTCATGTTGTGCCTCCCCAGGACTCAATACTGGACATCCTGAAGAAGACCAACGTCCACTTCATCCATTGCATCCTGCCCAACCAGAACGTGTCCCTGGGGGAGACGGACAACCTGATGAACGTCCCCCTGGTCAGGAGCCAGCTGCGGGGCTTTGAGATCCTGGAGGCCACCAGACTGTACCGCCAGGGGTTCCCTGACTCCATGCTCTTCACAGACTTCATCAACAAGTTCCGGCCCTTGGTGCCGGGGCTGAAGGGGGGCAACGGGGAGGGGGAGGAGAAGCTGGTGAGTCACACTTTTTGTTGTGTTACTGTTTATTAAAAAAGTGAACAAAAAAAATTGAAAAGAAAAAATGTTTAACATAGTTTAAGACAATATAACTCTTATTATAAAAGCCTCAAGAAACAAAAACAGAAAATTTTAGGACTCTGTAATGCAAAAAAAAATTGAAAACACATAATGTGAAAATATAGTTAAAATGGCTACAGCTTTTATTATAAAAACCTCTAAAAACAAAAACAGAAAATTTTAGGACTCCACGCACTAGTTGTAGAAACAACTTTTTAAAATTGTCTTATTTAAACCCACGCTAGTCTGTCATGAAATTGTTTCAGAATGTGAATGCCATCCTTGACCATCTGGACATAGACAAGCTCAGCTACCGTGTGGGACACACTAGGGTCAGTTTAGGTCTCCTCTTAACATAGAAGAGCTAAGCGTATGTGGTTATCCCTAATCATCGAAGAGTTTTGCTTATGTGTCTCCCTTTAACAAAGAAGAGTCAAACTTGTTTCCTTTAAAATCAAATACTATATCCTTATTAGTTTTCCTTTGATATCTGATAATTAGCAGTTTCATTACCCAAAAAATGTAATTGATCATTTCCCCTTAAAATATGAGTTTTGTCCCTTGAGACACATTTTCCCCAAACAATTAGTAGTGGCCTTCCTTAAACAAAACTGATTTCCCCATAGCCAACAGTTTTTGTCTCCTAATATATTATCTCCCCTTGTCCCCTGTCACCTAATGTATTATCTCCCCTTGTCCCCTGCCACCTAATGTATTATCTCCCCTTGTCCCCTGCCACCTAATGTATTATCTCCCCTTGTCCCCTGCCACCTAATGTATTATCTCCCCTGTCACCTAATGTATTATTTCCTGTTGTCCCCTGCCAGGTATTTTTCCGCCCTGGCTGTCTGACCCAGCTGGACCTCAACAGAGATGAGAAGTTTACTGGCATCATAGAGCAGTTCCAGGCACTGTGTCGGGGCTATCTGGGCAGGAAGAAGATGGAGAAAATCAAGGTAACAACTTCTTCATGCTAGTGACAACTTCTTCATGCATCCATTGGTGACTTTTAACTCCTGCTGGTTTTAAGATACATCAGATGTTTAAATTTTTATTAAGTCTCTAGGTCATTGACCTTTAAACCCTGATGGTTTTAAGATATTACAGTTGATTAAATTTTATTAAGTCTCAGATTCCTTTGCATAATTAGTAGTTTTGAAGTAGCTATAATCCAGGAGGAAATGGATGGGGGGAAAGATAATGACACATTTAAATTTAGTAACGATGCTTACTTGAAGCCTTAATTTTATAACAGAAAACCTGGGACAAACTTTGGTGTAATCTGCTTTACATGATTTTCATGGGCATATTTTGTCAAAAATTAATTATTTTAACACATGCCTATTTGAATTAATGCTTAATTAAGTATGAAAATGTAATTTATAAGTAAAACATAACAGGACATTAGATATTCCAGCAGTATAAAAAACTTAAAGAAAAACTAATAGTAAATAAGTTGGGACTCATGTCACTTCGATACTTGGCCCCTTAAAAGAAAAACTAGCTTTTTTCCTAGGGTTGGATAACTAAGAAAGCAGCAATAGGTAGATAAAAGTGATGTTGTTTTGATATGCTAGGTCCAGCACACAGCAATACGTTGTATACAGAGGAATGTACGCAAGTACATACAGATCAGGGAGTGGGAGTGGTGGAGGCTGTACACAAAAGTGAAACCTATTTTAAATGTACACAGGACAGAGGAGGAACTCAAGGAAAAGGAGGTGAGGGGTGTGGTCAACAGGAGAGGGGTGGTTGTGGGTAGGGGTGTGTTGTGGTTGTATGGTGAGGTGTGTGGTTGTATGGTGAGGCGTGTGGTTGTATGGTGAGGTGTGTGGTTGTGGGGAGAGGTGTGGTTATAGGGTCAGATGTTGTATGATGAGGTGTGGTAGTTGATGTATGCTAAGGTATAGTATGAACCATTGTGGTGATGTATGGTTGAGGTGTGAGGTGTTGTGTGGTGTAGTTGTGTGGTGTGGTTGTGTGGAGCCAGTCTATAAAATAAGCCCCTATTTCCAGGCTGAGATAGAACTGCTGAAAGCCCGCAATGAGAAGCTGGAGAAAGAGAGGGCTGAGTACAAGACACAGTGTGATAAACTGGAGAACAGGGTGAGTCACTGGTACTAGAATTTTAAAAAATCCAGTCTACAAACTCACAACCTACAAGTTCACAACCTACAAACACAACCTACAAGTTCACAACCTACAAACACAACCTACAAGTTCACAACCTACAAACACAACCTACAAGTTCACAACCTACAGACCCTCAACTTACAAGTTCCCAACCTACAGACCCCCCCCCCCAACTTACAAACCCCAAGCCACAAACTCACAATCTACAAATCCCATCGTACAACCCATTAACCTATTCACCCCCAAACAACAAACCCCCTACCCACAAACTCCCCAACCTACAACACCCTGCCCCAACCCACAATCCACCAATGCACCAAACCACAATCTCCCAGCATACTGACCTCCAACCCACAAACTCCCCAACCTACAACCCCCCACCCCAACAACCTCAAACCCACAAACTCCCCAACCTACAACCCCCCCACCCCAACAACCTCAAACCCACAAACTCCCCAACCTACAACCCCCCCACCCCAACAACCTCTAACCCACAAACTCCCCAACCTACAACCCCCCCCCCAGCCCACCATCCCCCAACACACTAACCCTCCAACCCACAAGCTCCCAAAGCTATACCCCCCCCCCCTTAACCCACAATCCTCCAACACACTAATCCCCAACCCACAAACTCCACAACATACACCCACCCCCCAGTCCACACTCCCCCAATGTACTGAACACCCCCCCCCCCTCAACCCACAAAACTACAGAACCCTTCCTATCCCCCCAGTTGGCAGAAGTGAGTGCAGATCTAGCAGAAGAGAACACCACATCCACTGAGGCAGCCGAGCTGCTGGAGGCGGAGTCTGCTGAGAGGATGCGACTGGAGAAAGAGTTCAAAGACCTGCAGGTCAGTGCTTAATCACTCACGTTCAGTTTACATGTGGTCATTTACTGGTCAAATGTTTATATGGTCATTTTTGACCTGCAGGTCAGTAGTTAATCACTCACTTTCAGTTTACATGTGGTCATTTACTGGTCAAATGTTTATATAGGGTCATTTTTTGTTACATTTTTATTATGGTCATTTACAGGTCAACTTTTTTTATGTATGGTCATTTACTATTCAAACTTTATAATGTAAGGTCATTTACTATTCAATAAAGTTTTATATTGTAATTCACTGGTCAAATTTTAAAAATATAATTGTAATTTAATGGTCTGATAATGTCACCCAACCAATGTATAATGATCCATCAATTGACTGATTTCATGCAACAAATGTTTGATAACACTCAACCAAAGTATGATGATCCAACAATTGACTGATATCTTGTTTGTCTGATGCCAGAGCAAGTTCACAGCCAGCAAGAGACAGATAGAGAAACTTCAGATGGAGCTGATGCAGACAAGGTTGTGGCAGGCAGAGGCTGTTGAGGATGAGCAGGAGGGGGAGAGAGAAGGTGGGGGACAGTTTGGTTAGTCACTGGGTGGTTGATTGGTGGTGGTGGGCTAGTTGGTTGGTTGGTGGTGGTAGTGGGTTTGTCGGTGGTGGGTGGCTGGTTGTGGGTTGGTTGGTTGGGGGTTGGTTGGTTGGTTGGTGACAGAGTTTCTTCCATATAGAAAAAAAATTTCCGCCCCCCATAAAAAATTTTATATACTTTTAACAGTATCCGCCCCCCCCCCCCCCCTCCCCGAGAAAAAAGTCTGGAAGAAACACTAGTTGGTGGTGGACAGGTTGGTAGGCTGGTCAGTGGTGGGTGGGTTGGCTTCTGGTGGAATGGTCAGTGGTGGTGGGCTGGTTGGTGCTGGTCTGTTTTTGTTGATGAGCTGGTGGGTAGTAGTTGGTCAGCTGGTTGGTTGCGGTTAGTCAATGATGGTCAAGTTGAAACATTATTTCTTATTTTATTTTCAAACCCTTCTATGTACAATTTTTTTTTTAATACAGTTAATGCATTAGTACCAAAAATGTTTTCCCCAACAGAAGATTCAGTGTACAAACCAAGATACGAGAGGGCAATGAAGGAGCTCCAGATCACCAAGAAACAGATGCAGCAACACCATGAGGAGGAGATGGAGCAGGAGCTTCAGTCTCGCAAGTTGATAGAGAAAAGGGTTGGTTATTTTACTGGCTTCAGTCTCGCAAGTTGATAGAGAAAAGGGTTGGTATAGACCTTACTTCAGTCTCGCAAGTTGATAGAGAAAAGGGTTGGTATAGACCTTACTTCAGTCTCGCAAGTTGATAGAGAAAAGGGTTGGTATAGACCTTACTTTAGTCTCGCAAGTTGATAGAGAAAAGGGTTGGTATAGACCTTACTTCAGTCTTGCAAGTTGATAGAGAAAAGGGTTGGTAAAGACCTTACCAAGTTTACCACTTGGCCAAGATTTATTTCTATTTAAACCATTGCACACAAGAAAGATTAGTTTTGACTAGCTACAGTGGTGAAACTAGCCCAGGGCTCTGCTGCCTGAATGGTTCTTGTCATTAATATAGTTCTCTAAATATGTTCGTAGTCTGCATTTAAAACTTTCAGTAATTTTTTGCTACCATACATAACTAATGTATGAAAATTTCATCTCATTTTATACATTTGGCTTAATTAATTATTTAGTTAATTAACCAGTACCTGAAAAAGAAAAAAAAATCTATAACAGTTTGTTTTTATCTTATTACATAATGAAACCAATTAAAAAGTCACCAATTTGATTTTCCTTTTAAAAAAATTTTGATTATGCACATTAAAGTAATAGTTTTTTTTTAAAAAACACGTTTTTAAAAACTTTGGCAAAAAAACTGTAAGCCCATAAATTTTAATTTCCTGTCTAGAGCCCATCAAAATTTTTAGATACATATTTTTACGATTGCCATGGATTAATTTGTTACAAAAAATAGTTTTAAAAAATAAATTATGTTCTCTGTATTAGCACATTTTATTATTTAATTTAATTAAATATTGAATTTCTGCAAATTAAAAATTTTATTCTTTTTTTTAATTGCTCAATAATTTTAGTTGTTTTTTTCAACTGATAATGATAAAATGGGTTATGTTGTGATACAGACACACTAGTCATGCCTCCAGTTATGTCTAAAGATGATGTTGAACATTTCTAAAGATGATGTTGAACATGTGTAAAGATGATGTTGAACAGAACATATGTAAAGATGATGTTGAACATGTCTAAAGATGATGTTAAACATGTGTAAAGATGATGTTGAACATGTCTAGAGATGATGTTGAACATATGTATGTTGAACATATGTAAAGATGATGTTGAACATGTCTAAAGATGATGTTAAACATGTGTAAAGAAGATGTTGAACATGTCTAAAGATAATGTTGAACCTATTTCAGCTTCACGAGGCCGTGGCTGAAGCAGAAGAACAGCGTCGTCAGGTGCAGGTTGCCAAGAAAAAGTCCCAACGCCTGACAGCAGAGATGCAGGACATGAAGCTCCACCTGGAGGAACAAATGGCCAGGAACAACGAGCTGGAGAGAAAACAGAGAAGGTTGTCTCCCTTGGCTTTTATTTTTCTATATCTAGTGAAATTATTATTGGAAATATAATTTTATAATCTTTAATCACCTATGGTAAAAAATGTGGGTGGGGTTAAAGGGAAGTTGTGGGTAATTAAAACAGCTTAGATACTACTTCATTTTTACTCCGAGGTTTAGTGACTTGTTGCACAATTTTTTAATCAAAAACATTCAAATATTGCACTCAAAGTAAAAATATAAGTCATAAAAGTCTATACTTTGTTATATAATAACCATAGAATACATTTTTGTTAAATTGTTAGTCAGAAACTGCAACAGTCATAGTCCTAATTTCTTTATTTAAGTATTAGATACCTCGTTCAGCAATGTATGGATGAAAAGTTTAAAATTTAACTTCATATAGTGTTAGTAAATGATGTTTATAAGTTTAAGAAAGGAAAAGGGGGTAAAACCATTAAAACCAAAGTGTCCTGTATGTATAGTTCATGGAGAAGATTTCAGCAAGCAAGTCACCACAGAATTACTTCTTCTTGCGTTTGTTATAAATGAATGGAAACTTTGGCTGAAAATGTTTTAAATAGCATATTTGATTTTTCTGATAGACACACCACATGTGTTTATTTTGCTAATGTTTGTTTTGTTGCAAGTTGTATGATGATGTTTGTACATTGTTATTTTGACCTTTATGTTTGTATGTTGCAGGTTTGACCCTTATGTTTGTATGTTGTAGGTTTGACCCTTATGTTTGTATTTTGCAGGTTTGACCCTTATGTTTGTATGTTGTAGGTTTGACCCTTATGTTTGTATGTTGTAAGTTTAACCTTTATGTTGTAGATTTGACCCTTATGTTTGTATGTTGCAGGTTTGACCCTTATGTTTGTATGTTGCAGGTTTGACCCTTATGTTTGTATGTTGTAGGCTTGACCCTTATGTTTGTATGTTGTAAGTTTAACCTTTATGTTGTAGATTTGACCTTTATGTTTGTATGTTGCAGGTTTGACCCTTATGTTTGTATGTTGCAGGTTTGACCCTTATGTTTGTATGTTGTAGGCTTGAACCTTATGTTTGTATGTTGTAAGTTTAACCTTTATGTTGTAGATTTGACCCTTATGTTTGTATGTTGCAGGTTTGACCCTTATGTTTGTATGTTGTAGGCTTGACCCTTATGTTTGTATGTTGCAGGTTTGACCCTTATGTTTGTATGTTGTAGGTTTGACCCTTATGTTTGTATGTTGCAGGTTTGACCCTTATGTTTGTATGTTGTAGGTTTGTCCCTTATGTTTGTATCTTGTAGGTTTGACCCTTATGTTGTAGGTTCAATCTTTATGTTTGTATGTTGCAGGTTTGACCCTTATGTTTGTATGTTGTAGGTTTGACCCTTATGTTTGTATGTTGTAGGTTTGACCCTTATGTTTGTATGTTGCAGGTTTGACCCTTATGTTTGTATGTTGTAGGTTTGACCATGATGTTTGTATGTTGTAGGTTTGACCCTTATGTTTGTATGTTGTAGATTTGACCCTTACGTTTGTATGTTGTAGGTTTGACCCTTATGTTTGTATGTTGTAGATTTGATCCTTATGTTTGTATGTTGTAGGTTTGACCCTTATGTTTGTATGTTGTAGGTTTGACCCTTATGTTTGTATGTTGTAGGTTTGACCCTTATGTCTGTATGTTGTAGGTTTGACCCTTATGTCTGTATGTTGTAGGTTTGACCCTTATGTTTGTATGTTGTAGGTTTGACCCTTATGTCTGTATGTTGTAGGTTTGACCCTTATGTCTGTATGTTGTAGGTTTGACCCTTATGTCTGTATGTTGCAGATTTGACCCATATGTCTGTATGTTGCAGGTTTGACCTTCTGTTTGTGTGTTGTAGGTTTGACAACGAGCTAAGTATGGCCCATGAAGACGCCAGAGAAGAGAAGGCCGCCAGAGATAAACTACAGAGAGAAAAAGATCATTTGCTCTCAGAGAAGTACTCACTGGAGCAGAACCTGGAGGTAGGGATACATGATAAATTGGGATATGGGGGGATACAAGGGAAGATATTGGAAATGGGGGGAGGGGGCAATTGAAAATATTTTTAAGGATAATTTTTGAAAAATGTTAAGCTAAGTTGTTTTCTTTGACATCTGATGACATGTTATGACTTAGGGGACATATATTGGTTTTGTTGACATGACATTGATGGCATGTAATGATTTTGATGACATGACATGAAATGACTTTGATGACATGATATGAAATGACATGATAAAATTGTCTTTGATGACATTACATGAAATGACCATGATTACATGCAGTAGCTTTGACATGATATCTGATGACATGTAATAACTGAATGACATCTGATGACATGCAGTAACTTTGACATGACATCTGATGACATGCAGTAACTTTGACATGACAACTGATGACATGCAATAACTGACAAGACATCTAATGACATGCAATAACTGACATGACATCTGATGACATGCAGTAAGTTAGACATGACATCTGATTCCTCATGACATTCCCCAGCATAGCAAGCAGGAGCTCCACAGCCTACAGGACAAGTGTGAGCGCCTGGAGAAGGAGATGAACGACCTGCTGGTCACTGGCAAGGACAACAACGAGGTCAGTTGCTCACTCTTCTCATACACTGGCTGGGTCAGCTTGACCTGTAAACTAGGGATGTTGTTTTAACTGACCTGTTGATTAGGGCATGATGACCTTTGGACACTTGACTGAGACATGATGAGCTTTGGACACTTGACTGAGACATGATGACCTTTTGGACACTTGACTGAGACATGATGACCTTTTGGACACTTGACTGAGACATGATGACCTTTTGGACACTTGACTGAGACATGATGACCTTTTAACCATGTTGTTTTTTACTAAAGCATGTTCTTCTAATGTTGAAGATCTAATGCTAATTCAGTATTGACCTACCCAGTGCATGTTGTTCTAATGTTGAATGGCTAATATTATATTCATATTGACCTGACACTTTGATTAATACACACATTGACCAGTGCATGCCAAGTTTATCCAAAAGAAAAAACAGCTTTACTGCTAATGTTGTTTAGAAGATAGAAGTGTCGTAATTGCCAACATTGTACAATTTAGGTACTGTTGTTAACTACCATGTGTTATGTGCTCAGCAGAAATGTGTACCTGTCCAGTCTATCTCTGTATTGTGTACTGTACAGAAATGTTTACCTATTTGTTTCCTCTCCAGTCTTTTAAAAAATGTGATCATGTCGCTAAGTACGAGTGCATGTGCCTCTGTAAACTGTGGAATATTAATTTAACCCACTTCCCATTGTCTGATTGAGCTGAAATTTGGATAATGATGCAAGAGGATCTAATTTTCAATCTAGGCTTTTATTCAAGAAAATGTATTTTTGTATTGTGTACTTGTAATGTGTACATGTAATGTGTACTTACCTATTATGTGTACGTGTAATGTGTAGTGTACCAGCAGAAATGTTAATCTATTTTTTTTTTACCTCTCCAGTCTGTGTACTTGTAATATGTACTTTAATATGTACTTTAATATGTACTTGTAATGTGTATTTGTAATGTGTACCTGTTGTAGTGTATACCTGTTGAAGTGTGTACCTGTTGAAGTGTGTACCTGTTGTAGTGTGTACCTGTTGTAGTGTGTACCTGTTGTAGTGTGTACCTGTTGTAGTGTGTAGCTGAAATGTGTGTACCTGAAATGTGTACCTGTAGTGTGTACTGTACCAGCAGAAATGTTTACCTATATTGTTTACCTCTCCAGTCTATCTCTACTGAGCAGGTAACTGATATGTTTCAGATCATTGGATTCTATTTTAAACCCTGGGTTTCATTTTACCATTAAAATGGATTGTTGTTTGTTTTTGTTTTGTTTTGTTGGTTTTTTTTTTTTTTTTTTTTTTTTTTTTTTTTTTTTTTTTTTTAATTTTTTTAAAATTATCAGTAAACTGGGTTTACTTTAATGATTTGTTAAATTTATTCTAAGTTATTTTATACTGTTTTTGAAATTTTATAAGTTATTTTATTTTTATATTTTACCATGGGCTTTTTTGTTGACATTGAAAGGATGGCTTTTTGTTAAAAATTAACAATTAAAAAATTGTGGGTACCTACTTCACGCTTATTTAACATAATTTATTCCCCATCAATTAAGGTGGCAGAATATATATATATCCATGTATTTTAAAATATATATTTTATTGTTTTTTGGTGCAGGGAATTTTTTAATCTAATAATTGAATTGGGATTGTTATGACGAGAAAGTTCTTGCGATATTTGTCAGAAGACTGGGGTCATGTTTGGGTTGGGGGTTTGACAGGAAAATTGCTTTGAACTTTTGCCTGGTGCTGTTGAATGACTAATAACAGAAAATTACCCAATTTACAGGAAATTATTAAAATACATTTGTTAATAGTTTTATTTTATCAGAAACAATATTGTTGTTGACACAAAATGTTTTTTTTTTTTTTTTTTTTTTTTTTTTCAAGATGAACTAATTTAGTTTATTTATATGGTACAATTTATAGACTGAGTCAATATGATGCCTTAAATGAAGTGACATTATATTAACTAAACTAACTTTGATCAGATTACTTAGATGAGTTAACTTACTATATATGACTGATTGTTTATAGTGATTGGTTAAAATGACTTAGAAGTAACTTAGTAAAGTTATCTTGATGTCCCCTAGTTTAGGGATTATTGGTTTTGTATAAGTTGATAAAGGTGACTAACAATTAAGTTTAACCTTTGACCCCCAGGCTGTTATCCTGAAGAGACAGAAGCACGAGCTGGAGGTCAAGCTCCAGGAACAGGAGGAGGAACTAGATGACCAGGCTGGTCAGATCCAGCAGCTAGAGCAGGTACAGCCACGGTGCAACCAGGTGTTGGCAACCAGGTGTAGGCAACCCTGGTACAACCAGGTGTTGGCAACCTTGTTACAACCAGGTGTAGGCAATCCTAGGTACAGCCATGGTAAAGCCAGGTGTTAGCAACCCTGGTACAACCAGGTGTTGGCAACCTTGGTACAACCAGGTGTAGGCAACCTTGGTACAGCCACAGTACAGCCAGGTGTTGGCAACCCTAGGTACAACCAGGTGTGGGCAACTCTGGTACAACCAGGTGTGGCAACCAGGTGTAGACAACCTTGGTACAACCAGGTGTAGGCAACCTTGGTACAACCATGTGTAGGCAACCAGGTGTTGGCAACCCTGGTACAACCAGGTGTTAACAACCAGGTGTAGGCAACCTTGTCACAACCAGTTGTAGGCAATCAGGTGTAGGCAACCCTGGTACAACCAGGTGTAGACAACCTTGGTACAACCAGGTGTAGGCAACCTTGGTACAACCAGGTGTAGGCAACCTTGGTACAACCAGGTGTAGGCAACCCTGGTACAACCCGGTGTAGACAACCCTGGTTACAGCCAGGTGTAGACAACCTTGGTACAACCAGGTGTAGGCAACCTTGTTACAACCAGTTGTAGGCAACCAGGTGTAGAGAACCTTGGTACAACCAGGTGTGGGCAACCAGGTGTAGGCAACCTTGGTACAGCCACGGTACATCCAAGTGTTGGCAACCCTAGGTACAACCAGGTGTAGGCAACTCTGGTACAACCAGGTGTGGCAACCTTGGTACAGCCACGGTACATCCAAGTGTTGGCAACCCTAGGTACAACCAGGTGTAGGCAACTCTGGTACAACCAGGTGTAGGCAACTCTGGTACAACCAGGTGTAGGCAACCTTGGTACAGCCAGGTGTTGGCAACCCTGGTACAACCAGGTGTAGACAACAACCAGGTGTAACTAAATTGCTATTACAAACTTTTTTATCTAGTGTTTTCACATACACAAACAAAAAACTGAAATTTTCAAATAAGTTTCCAAAATGTTACTCTCAACAACCTTTGATGAGTGTATGTGTATTTCTGAACCACCAGACCAAACTCCGTCTTGAGATGAACCTAGAGAAGAGCAAACAGCAGCACTCAAAGGAGTTGGAGGAGAAGGATGAGGAGATGGAGGAGATGAAGTACAAGACACAGAAGAAGGTGAGTGCTGGAGAGGTTTCACCTGGGTGCAGGGGAAATATATGTTTCACGTGCATTGATTCTAACTTACCTGCATGCAGGTAAATGTTTCACCTGCACGCAGGTTAATACATGTTTCATTGCAGCTTCTATACATCCTAATTTCTATCCCGTGCAGCTAATGTACAAAACTTAAAATTTCAGCTGCGTCAACTGGAGGGACAGCTGGAGGAGGAGTACGAGCAGAAGAGGAGGATACAGGAGGAGAAGGCCCAGCTGGAGAGACAGCTCCAGGCTTGTGGCAGCCGGGAGCCACAGAGGGACAGAGGTCAGTTGGTGGCGGATAGATTGGTGTTTGGTGTAGAAGGTGTTTGGTGTCGACAATTGTTGTTAGAAGTGGTGAAATGTGGTCCACATTCTCTGTGTCTATCTCATCTTACTGTAACCTACTATTTATCTTATAGAATCAGAAAAACGTCTGCGACGCAACCTGCGGAAGACGCGAGCCCTGCTCAATGACGCTGGCGCTGCCCTGATGAAGCAGAAGGACATCGAGGGAGCCAAGGCACAACTGGTTGCCCTGCGCAACCAGCTGGATGACTCTGAGTTTGCATCTGCTGCAGCGGTCAAGGCCAAGAAGAGGATGGAGCTAGAGATGCAGGAGCTACAGCAGCAGATTGATGACCTGACACGTGCCAAACAAGAGGTCAGAGGTCATGCTTGATTTGACTCTAGTGGTCAACATACCTGTGGTTAGAGTGTTTTCTGTATGCTATAGTAAAAATGTTGCCCTTGTGCTCCAGATGTTTTTAAATTGTTGCCCATGTGCCCCAGGTGTTCTAAAAATGTTGCCTTTGTGCCCTAAGTGATCTAAAATTGTTGTCCTTGTGCCCCAGATGTTCTAAAAATGTTGCCTTTGTGCCCTAAGTGATCTAAAAATGTTGTCCCTGTGCCCCAGATGTTCTAAAATTGTTGTCCTTGTGCCCCAGATGTTCTAAAAATGTTGCCTTTGTGCCCTAAGTGATCTAAAAATGTTGTCCCTGTGCCCCAGATGTTCTAAAAATGTTGTCCTTGTGCCCCAGATGTTCTAAAAATGTTGCCCTTGTGCACCAGATGTTCTAAAAATGTTGCCCTTGTGCCTCTAAAATGTTGTCCTTGTACCCCACCCAGGCTGAGTCTAAGTGCATGCTGCTACTGAGGGAGAAGACAGACGTACAGAGCAGGCTGGAGGAGCTAGAGGAGGACATGAACGAGGTCATGAAGAAATACAAGGCATCAGTACAACAGGTTAGGTCTTTTACCTTGCAAGTATGGGTACAACAGGTTAGGTCTTTTACCTTGCAAGTATGGGTACAACAGGTTAGGTCTTTTACCTTGCAAGTATGGGTACAACAGGTTAGGTCTTTTACCTTGCAAGTATGGGTACAACAGGTTAGGTCTTTTACCTTGCAAGTATGGGTACAACAGGTTAGGTCTTTTACCTTGCAAGTATGGGTACAACAGGTTAGGTCTTTTACCTCGCAAGTATGGGTACAACAGGTAAGGTCTTTTACCTTGCAAGTATGGGTACAACAGGTAAGGTCTTTTACCTTGCAAGTATGGGTACAACAGGTTAGGTCTTTTACCTTGCAAGTATGGGTACAACAGGTAAGGTCTTTTACCTCGCAGGTACACTTACAGGTCTGTGCACAGTTTAGGTCTTTTACCATGCAGGACTGTGTACAACAGGTAAGGTCTTTTACCTCGCAAGTATGGGTACAACAGGTTAGGTCTTTTACCTCGCAAGTATGGGTACAACAGGTAAGGTCTTTTACCTCGCAAGTATGGGTACAACAGGTAAGGTCTTTTACCTCGCAAGTATGGGTACAACAGGTAAGGTCTTTTACCTCGCAAGTATGGGTACAACAGGTTAGGTCTTTTACCTTGCAAGTATGGGTACAACAGGTAAGGTCTTTTACCTTGCAAGTATGGGTACAACAGGTAAGGTCTTTTACCTGACAGGTACACTTACAGGTCTGTGCACAGTTTAGGTCTTTTACCACGCAGGACTGTGTACAACAGGTAAGGTCTTTTACCATGCAGGACTGTGTACAACAGGTAAGGTCTTTTACCTCACAGATATGCATACAACTAGGAAGGTTGGTTACCTAACAGGTCTTTGTAAAACAGGTAAAATCTTTTACCTCAGAGATCTGCTTACAACAGGTAAGGTCTTATCCCTGACAAGTCATTAAGGAAAGAAAAAAAGCACCTGTCAGGTAGAGATTGAGCTAGACTGGAACAAAAGGCAAGAATTACCTGGGCTGTCACCTAGCAGGTAGAGATTGAGCTAGACTGGAACAAAAGGCAGGAATTACCTGGGCTGTCACCTAGCAGGTAGAGATTGAGCTAGACTGGAACAAAAGGCAGAAATTACCTGGGCTGTCACCTAGCAGGTAGAGGTGTGCAGGCTGCCAGGTGAGGTACAGCAGGTGGGAATAAATGCAGGCAGGTTGTTAGCTTGGAGTTGGGGCTGAAGTAACAAAGCCTACTTGGTTATGTAGCTAGGATAATGAAGCCCACAGTGTGGCTGGGGTAATGAAGCCCACAGTGTGGCTGGGGTAAAGAAGCCCACTTGGTTATGTAGCTGGGATAATGAAGCCCACTTGGTAGTGTGGCTGGGGTAATGAAGCCCACAGTGTGGCTGGGGTAATGAAGCCCACAGTGTGGCTGGGGTAATGAAGCCCACAGTGTGGCTGGGGTAATGAAGCCCACAGTGTGGCTGGGGTAATGAAGCCCACAGTGTGGCTGGGGTAAAGAAGCCCACAGTGTGGCTGGGGTAAAGAAGCCCACTTGGTTATGTAGCTGGGATAATGAAGCCCATAGAGTAGTGTGGTTGGGGTAATGAGGCCCACTTAGTAGTGAGATGGTGGTAATAAAGCCCTCTTGGTAGTGTGGTAGGGTAATGAAGCCCACTTATTTGTGGGTCTGGGGTAATGAAGCCCACTTATTTGTGGGTCTGGGGTAATGAAGCCCACTTAGTAGTGGGTCTGGGGTAATGAAGCCCACTTAGTAGTGGGTCTGGGGTAATGAAGCCCACTTAGTAGTGGGTCTGGGGTAATGAAGCCCACTTAGTAGTGAGATGGTGGTAATAAAGCCCACTTTCTACTGACTAATCAATGTGTGTGGTGTTGTCCCCAGCAATCAGTTGATCAGATCACACTGACTGACCAGATGGTCCAGATAGAAGAACTGACCACAGAGAGAGACAGGTTCAAGCAGGAGGTCAGTTCATACTTTTGGATACATGACATCCACACTTGACATTTGGATCCATGACATTCACATTTGACATTTGGATATGTGACATTCACACTTGACATTTGTCTTTTTGACATTTTACATTTACCATCCACATGTCTGGAAGACTCAATGTACATGTTGACATTTGTCTTGATGCCTTAATTGCACATTCATTAGTGGTGTCTTGATTAGCTTTAATAAACCTGTTGATAGAAGGCCTTGTAAACAAATACAAAACAACAGTCTATAAACATCTTGTGTTGGCTGAGTTTCTTGTATGGATACTTGTAGAGGAGATGTCTTCTTACTTTTAGTTCTTGCTTGTTGATCTTTTGTTACCTTGTGTGTTGGTTATTGTTGTGTCACCTAATGATTGATTGTTGTGGTCATTAATGATTGTTTATTGTGGTCACTTATGATTGTTGTGGTCACCTATTGATTGTTGTGGTCACCCAATGATTGTTGTGGTCACCTAATGAATGATTGTTGTTGTCACCTTATGATTGTTTTTGTCACCCAATGATTGTTGTGGTCACCTAATGAATGATTGTTGAGGCCACCTAATGAATGATTGTTGTGGTTATCTACTGATTGTCGTGGTCACCCAATGATTGTTGTGGTCACCTAATGAATGATTGTTGTGGTCACCAATGATTGTTGTTGTCACCAATGATTGTTGTGATCATATAATGATTGTTGTGGTCACTTAATGATTGTCATGGTCATCCAATGATTGTTATGGTCACCTAATGAATGATTGTTATGGTCATCTACTGATTGTCGTGGTCACCTAATGATTGTTGTGGTCACCCAATGATTGTTGTTGTCACCTTATGATTGTTGTGGTCACCTAATGAAAGTTGTAGTCACCTATTGTTGTTGTGGTCACCTAATGAAAGTTGTGGTCACCTATTGTTGTTGTGGTCACCTAATGATTGTTGTGGTCACCCAATGATTGTCGTGGTCACCTAATGGTTGATTGTTGTTGTCACCTGCTGCAGGTGTCAGACCTCCAGTCCCGTGTCCAGACCTATGATGAGACCATGGTGGACAAGCACAAGGTGGAGAGGCTGGAGACCAAGATCAGGGACCTGGAGAGTAGGCTGGAACTGGAGACTACCACCAAACAGAGGCTGGAGGTAAGTGGTCAAACATGGTGGTACTGGTCCAGCATTTATTCATTTCTTAAAGTGTTCTAGTAAGGAAAGAAATGTGTCCAGCCCATACATTAATTTCTCCAGCCCACACATTTTGTCTAAGCCACACATTAATTTGTCTAGCCCACACATTTATTTGTCTAGCCCACACATTAATTTGTCTAGCCAACACATTAATTTGTCCAGCCCACACAATAATTTGTCCAGCCCACACAATAATTTGTCCAGCCCACACAATAATTTGTCCAGCCCACACAATAATTTGTCCAGCCCACACAATAATTTGTCCAGCCCACACAATAATTTGTCCAGCCCACACATTAATTTGTCTAGCCCACACATTAATTTCTCCAGCCCACACATTAATTTGCTCCCATCTCCCCCAGGGCCAGGTGAGCCGACTGAAAGAACAGATAGAACGTCTGACCACAGAGAAGGAGGACCTGAACTTGGCCAAGCTGTCAGCTGACGAGGCCAACAAGAGGACACAGAAACAGCTGCGAGAGCTGAGGGAGGAGTTCGGGGAGGTCCAGAAACGGGAGCTGGAGGCTGCACAGAAGAAGAAGGAGTTGGTGAGTTTAGGGTGGGGCGCAAAGATATTGTAGCCTTGATGTAGCTATCTCATGTAGCCATCTCATGTAGCTGGAGGCTGCACAGAAGAAGAAGGAGTTGGTGAGTTTAGGGTGGGGCACAAAGATATTGTAGCCTTGATGTAGCTATCTCATGTAGCCATCTCATGTAGCTGGAGGCTGCACTGAAGAAGGAGTTGGTGAGTTTAGGGTGGGGCGCAAAGATATCGGCACATGTTACTTAAGGAAAAGGATAGTGTGGGCAGGAGGGTGTCTGTATTTATATTTTACTTAGACAATTTTAACATAGCATATAGGATGTAGCTATTGCTAGGACATTGCCCAGTTGTAATACTGTGATGTAGACTACCCTGTTATGTAGTTTGTAATGTGGGCTATACTGGGGTTGTGTACTGTAGCAGCTGATGCAGATTTGTCATTTAGCCTATACTGCTGCAATGTAATATAGCCATATCATGTAGACTCTGATGTAGGATGTAGTTATGTAGCCACTGCTGTAGCATAATGTCACCTCAAGCGTTGCTCTCTCCCAGGAAACGCGTGTAGAGGACCTGGAGTCTGAACAAGTCCAGCACCAGTCTGACCTCAAGCTGGCCCTCAAGAGGATCACTGACCTGCAGGCAGCTCTGGAGGAGGACCTGGACAGTGACAGTGACGTCTTGCTCTCTGACAGGTCAGTTGATTTTACTGTCACGGCCACTCGTCACATTTAACCTAGTGCATGGAATGTATTGGAATATTCCAAGACTTTGTGTAAGATGTTTTAATGTTGTTGAAAATTGAGGTATGTTGTATATCTTGACCAGTGATGATGACGATGATGGGTCCTCTGATGAAGAAGCGTATGTGGCCAACCATAGAAAAGAAAATGATCATCACACAAGGAATTCTCATGTAGCCAACAGTGAGTTGTCAGTTGTCTTAAATTGTTGATTCACCTGTTTACATACACCTGACCCACCTCCCATACACACCTGACCCACCTGGTAATACACCTGACCCACCTACCACACACCTGACCCACCTCCCACACACCTGACCCACTTCCCCCACACACCTGTGTAAAGAATGTTTCTAGCTGGCCACAAATAATATTCGGCTGATCCATGTCACATCTTGCTTTAACACTCTGACATTGTACGTGTAATCTGGGTGTAATCTAAATGTAATCTGGGTGTAATGTAAATGTAATCTGGGTGTAATCCGTGTCTGATGTATCTGTCATCTCATTGCTGTAAGCCTTTGAATGGCTCCTGTTGAATGGCTAGCACTTATGTTAAGTATGGCATCGACACAGACATGTGCTATGGTGTGGTGTGAAGATGGTACATACATACAGGCAGTTGGTACACACATACAGGCAGTTGGTACACATACAGGCAGTTGGTACACATACAGGCAGTTGGTACACACATACAGGCAGTTGGTACACACATACAGGCAGTTGGTACACACATACAGGCAGTTGGTACACACATACAGGCAGTTGGTACACATATACAGGCAGTTGGTACACACATACAGGCAGTTGGTACACACATACAGACAGTTGGTGCACACATACACACACACACATACATGCAGTTTATACACACATACAGGCAACTGGTACACACACACATACAGGCAACTGGTACACACACATACAGGCAACTGGTACACACATACAGGCAGCTGGTACACACATACACACACACACATACAGGCAGTTTGTACACACATACACACACACATACAGGCAACTGGTACACACACACATACAGGCAGTTTATACACACATACAGGCAACTGGTACATACACACACACGTACAGGCAACGTACACACATACAGGCAGCTGGTACACATACACACACACACATGCAGGCAGCTGGTACACACATACAGGCAGCTGGTACACACACACAGGCAGCTGGTACACACATACAGGCAGCTGGTACACACATACAGGCAGCTGGTACACACACACAGGCAGCTGGTACACACACACAGGCAGCTGGTACACACATACAGGCAGCTGGTACACACATACAGGCAGCTGGTACACACATACAGGCAGCTGGTACACACATACAGGCAGCTGGTACACACATACAGGCAGCTGGTACTCAAAAGGTCATGGCCTAATTATTTCTTGCCATCAGGCTCGGATCTAAAAGAACACTTTAACATGATTCAAAGTCGTGATCTTGGGCTTTTTTTTAAAATAAAATAACTGTAGGGCATACATAGTAAAGGTTGCTACACGCTCTTCTGTGAAGTGCTCATCTGATCATTGAGATGACGTCAAGTTTCGCGTTTAAGTGACGTCATTCTTTCTTACATTGAAGTCACGCCTAAAATAATTAATGTTCTTTAAAAATGACGTCACTTGCAAACCTTTACGACTGATACTGTCTACATCGCTTTATGTGACGTCCAACTTCTCCTCCTAGATCTATTTTAAACCTTGTAATCCCAGAAATTTAATAGACTAAAAATGGAAACTTGGAATAGAAAAAAAAAGTGTCCCAGTCAGCGATGGAGTGCGGGGGTGGAAGCCGTTAAATTGCCACGTCACCAGACCCGGTCCCGGGGACCACCCGGGCTCTGGCCATTGTCGCCGGGCTGGCCCTCCCGCTCTACCTATTGTACCTGGGCCCGTAGCGCGCGGGCGCCCAATGCTATTCACACCTCGTTGTCACGAGCCTTTGATAGCGGCCCGGCATCCCCTTGAAGCGGTGGAGCCAGTAAAAAAAAAAAAATATGTGCCGTGTTTAGTCATTTGTCGTCGAGTTGGCGTGGAGATAGAGAAACTGAAGGATTCGCCGCTTGACTTTTGGGCTGGGGAAAAACAATACTAGATGTTGGGGGGGGGGGGGGGGGGGTCGCTTGCGTGGAGTGGTAAGTGGTTACAGGTAAGGGGGGGGGGGTCTTGGTACTGGGAGATTTTAGGTAGACAGAGTATGCGAGTGTCGTGGTGTTAGCTCCCCTTGATGTGAGGATGGTTACAGATGAATTATGGTTATTTCACATCAATTGGGTGGCGTGTGAATGATGGTTATTTCCCATTAATTAGGTGGTGTGTGAATTATGAGTGGTGTTTAAATTGTATTCCATGTTAGCGCCCCCTTGATCGGATAACGTTTTGAGACGCGGTTCGTGTTCACTCCCTTGTGAAGAGACGTTGGGAAACGGCGAGTTGAGGTTCTTGGTTTTAGCTCCCCTTTGTGTGAGTTGTGGTTCGTGTTAGCTCCCCTTTAGATGGTGGTTAACTGAGCTGTTATTAGCTCCCCTTGTTCGGGGTAGAGTTTGTGTTGTTAGGTCGTGTGTTGTGGTTCGTGTTAGTTCCCCTTTAGATGGTGGTTAACTGAGCTGTTCTTGGTATTAGCTCCCCTTGTTCAGGGTAGAGTTTGTGTTGTGGGGTCGTGTGTATGCCCACAAAGTACAGTTCGATCGTTGGACTGTAGAGTCTGTGATGAGTGGGGGGGGGGGGGGGATCTGGAGTGAGGGTATCCCGGACAAATTGTGGGTTTCGTTTACCGGAGCCGCGGCCGTTTGTTTGTTTGTTCAGGGATCCCCCCCCCCCCCCCCCCCCACCTCCCGAGCCTATGCCGAGGTTTCCCCCTGCCTGCTTGAACCGTGCCTGCACTTTGGATGTCTTTGTTACCTGGTTTTTTCGTGGCGTTTTTTTTTTTTTTTTTTTTTTTTTTTTTTTGTGGTCGTGGCTGGGGTGATAGATGATGGCCAGAATAGAAAACAATGGACAGGTCAGCCCAAGTTGGCCAGGATCAGTGGAATTAAGGGCCATGGCCGCTATACGTGGCCATAACACACTGCGGGGTGTTCTGTTATTCCTGTGGTCTGTTCATATTTTTTGTCTGCCCAAATTCTGGTGTGTGTTTGTGTGTGTTGAGAGGGGGAGGGACGAGGCACGAAGGGAGATAAATCGATACGAGCATCGGGATAATGAATACATTAAAGGGAAACAACTCGTGCGTCTCGCGGGATTTAGGGGCGTCTTAAAAGCGGGTTGGGGGAAGAATTAGGGTCAATTCCGGGTCGGGTTGGGGGAAGAATTAGGGTCTATTCCGGGTCGGGTTGGGGGAGAATTAGGGTCAATGCCGGGTCAGGGGAAGAATTAGGGTCAATGTCGGGTTGGGGGAAGAATTAGGGTCCATTCGGGGTCGGGTTGGGGAAGAATTAGGGTCAATTCTGGGTCGGGTTGGGGGAAGAATTAGGGTCAATTCCGGGTCGGGTTGGGGGAAGAATTAGGGTCTATTCCGGGTCGGGTTGGGGGAGAATTAGGGTCAATGCCGGGTCAGGGGAAGAATTAGGGTCAATGTCGGGTTGGGGGAAGAATTAGGGTCCATTCGGGGTCGGGTTGGGGAAGAATTAGGGTCAATTCCGGGTCGGGTTGGGGGAGAATTAGGGTCAATGCCGGGTCAGGGGAAGAATTAGGGTCAATGTCGGGTTGGGGGAAGAATTAGGGTCCATTCGGGGTCGGGTTGGGGAAGAATTAGGGTCAATTCTGGGTCGGGTTGGGGGAAGAATTAGGGTCAATTCCGGGTCGGGTTGGGGAAGAATTAGTGTCAATTCCGGGTCTACGTTGTATCGGGTTGTTGTGGGAAGAATTAGAGTCTTTGTTGTGTCGGGTTGTTGTGGGAAGAATTAGAGTCTTTGTTGTGTCGGGTTGTTGTGGGAAGAACAGACCACTGAAAGTTTTTTTTCTCCTCTAGTACGTATATGGATTACCCACCAATCAACCAGAGAATAAAATATCGGCTGTCAAAAATTTACTGGGTTAAGTGATTGAGTACCACGGGGTCCTTTGTTGACATTGGAAATTTAGTCACTTATCTATCTGTATAAAGTCCTTGTTTGGGTGATATGGGGGTAATTAAAGGTTGGTTGGGATTATAATACGGTCAATCAAGTTCCTGATTAGCGTGATAAAAGGATTATCTTAAAGGTAGGGGGGGGGAGGTAAAAAGAGTGTTAAAATGTTCTTCAATAAAGGAGAAATAAATGAAAATAAATGATATCAATAACATACGATGACGTTCACAAATTTCTTCTCGTTGTCCCTAGCTGCAGCCAAACTGACGTGAATCCAGCCATAGCTAAGTGTCCCCGCAGCTAAACATGTGTAGCTAGCCCATGTAGCATGTAATGACAGGTTTAGCCAACAATTGAACACAAAAACCTTTCCTAGGAGCGGTTCATCGAGTACTCGCTATTTATACAGCTTAAAAAATCGGTTTTAAGTGGCGTGTTCAGGGTGGAGGGGATGGGGGGGGGGGAGTAGTGCGAACCTGGGATGTGGCATCTTGATGGGTACCACCTGTGACTCTTAGAGGGTCGGGTATTTATTATGATGAAGGGCAGGCACTCCTGCGGCTTCCGTGTAGTCGCCCCCCTCTCCTAACGGTGTGTTTTGCGCACCGCTGTGTACTGGTTGCGCACCGCTTGCATCGCGTGCCTGCCGCCGTTTTCACCGTCGTTGTCGGCTTCTGAAACTGGGTCGGGGCACCAAAACCGCTGGGCTACCAATTTTTTTTTTTATCTCTCGTGACCGCGGCGTGTGTTGGCCGACGAAATCCTCGAGGAAGCCTCGTTCTGAGTTTGGGCTGGCGAGGGTTTTAGCGTTAGTTCATAACGAGACTACATCAACAGCCCAATACGCTATTCATAACCTACGGCGGCTCGGGTTCGCGTTGTCAACTGCACGCCCCAGCACCTGTTATCTCCGGGCTCTCGGGGCAGACACGGTGAAGAAGGGGATGTAATCCACTACTGCTGCTAAATGAGTTATCTGTCTTGGGGGTGGTTGGGGGGGGGGGGTTAAGTTTCCTTTGAGTTTAACATTTTGAGATGTATATTCCCAATTTTGTGATGCTAACAATTAAACACACGAGCTGAGAATTTGTGAATTAAAAGAGGTACAATTTGCTTTGACGTACCCCATAGGAATAGGAAGAAAATAATTTTTTATATTTAATGTGGTCAAATGTGGAGTGGTACGGCTAACCTTTTGGTGATGAAATTATAGTGGATCAGATGGTGGTGGCCCAGCCAACACGGATGGTAGCGTACTGGCTTGGTGTGTGGCACTGACCGATTGCCAGCGGAGACACTGACCGTCAATCGCCCGAGGACAATGACTGACCGCCATGACGGAAACGTTTGGTCACGTACTCCATCTGCACCCCCCCCCCACGTGATCATCGGGTGACCACTTTGTCAGCTTTCGGTGTGCGGTCCCGTTAGTAACATCACAGCCTTCGGTCGTGGGGGACGGGCGAGGGTATGTTCTGATGGCGGGTTCAGAATTTCTTTTAAGCGTCACTTCAGGGGGGAGGGGGGGCACTGACACATAAGTGTTCAAAGCGTTAAATTATATATTTTTCTATTTCGTTCGGGTGGAGCACCCCCCTCCTCACCGGACGAAATAGAAATAAAAATAAGTTTATAGAAAATATATATATATATATATATGCTTTAGAGTTAGACAATGCCCCCCCCCCCACCGGAAGTTTCAAGTGCCATGCCAAACCCCCCCCTCCCCCCGGAGAAACATGTTTTAAAAGAAACCTTGAGTGGGCTGGACATGGGTTATCATGGCGGGTTGGACCTGGGTTAGATGTAATTCATCTCGTGTTGGAGTGAGGGGGGGGGGGGAGAGACGTGTGAAGAGTTTTATTGGCTCAAAGCGTTAGATGAGCCTCGCGGCCTGCTAGTGTCCCACGGAGCACACCCCGACTTATCAATCTCCCCCCCCCCCCCTATCAATCTCAGCTCCCCCCCCCCCCTTCCTCCCCACCCCACCCTGAGTGTCCACACGTGCCGCAATCAATAGCCCCTCCCCTTTGTTTACACACCCCACAGTGCCGGCGACCCCTCCAGATTTGTCCTCGTCCAATTAGTCCACGTCTTTATCTCGTCCACTCGTGGTCACTTCTCTCAGCGGTCGATGAAAAGTCCATGCTGCTACGGTCGATGGTCCATTGTGCTACGGTCGATGGTCCATTGTGCTACAGTCGATGACCAGTCCATGCTGCTACGGTCGATGGTCCATTGTGCTACGGTCGATGGTCCATTGTGCTACAGTCGATGACCAGTCCATGGTGCTATGGTTGATGGCCGGTCTATGGTGCTATGGTCGATGGTCCATTGTGCTACAGTCGATGACCAGTCCATGGTGCTACGGTCGATGGTCTATGGTCGATGGTCCATTGTGCTATGGTCGATGGTCCATTGTGCTACAGTCGATGGTCCATTGTGCTACAGTCGATGACCAGTCCATGCTGCTATGGTTGATGGCCAGTCTATGGTGCTACGGTCGATGGTCCATTGTGCTACAGTCGATGACCAGTCCATGGTGCTATGGTTGATGGCCAGTCTATGGTGCTATGGTCGATGGTCCATTGTGCTACAGTCGATGACCAGTCCATGGTGCTATGGTTGATGGCCGGTCTATGGTGCTATGGTCGATGGTCCATTGTGCTACAGTCAATGACCAGTCCATGGTGCTATGGTTGATGGCCGGTCTATGGTGCTATGCTCGATGGTCCATTGTGCTACAGTCGATGACCAGTCCAGGGTGCTATGGTTAATAACCAATCTATGGTGCTACGGTCGATGGTTCATTGTACTAGACTCGATGACCAGTCCATGGTGCTACGGTCGATGGTCCATGTGCTACGGTCGATGGTCCATGTGCTACGGTCGATGGTCAGTCTATGGTGCTACGGTCGATGTTCCATTATACTACGGTCGATGGTCCATTGTGCTACGGTCGATGGCCCATTGTGGTGAGGTCGGTCGAATAAAACATCTTATTACCGGTATTTCAAACAAAGCAGCCCACCATTCCTGACGTCACGCTGATGACCTGATGCTCTTGTATCGATTTCCTCCCCCCACCCTCTCCCTCCCCCACAAAGTTGTCTCCCTTTATACAATATTCTCCAAGTAATTCTCTCCCCTTGCCACGGTAAAAGCTGTAAAACGGGAAGCAGTCAGAAAAACCCGTTGATTACATTTTAAGTTAATGAGTGTACTCCCATGAACCCCCCAACCCCTCCCCCTCTCTCGCACACTCACGCATTTATATTTAAATATTCATTATGCAAATCACCTTTTTATTAGTGTGACGTGGGTGGTATCGATGCTTGGATAGATGGTATCGAGCGTGAGAAAAAGAAATTGACATTAACAGGATTGACACAAAAAAAAGTGACAGAAACCGAGTGGACAAAAAGTGACATTTGTTGAAAAACTGATTAGCTAGCTAATTATTTATTCTAGTTTTCTCATCGAGTTCACAAGTTTGAAGCACTCTGGCTAATTTGCATATTGTAGTCCACAATCAATTTACACCCCCCCTCCCCGCCCCCTTTTTTCTCTCATCGCGTTAGACCTGTTTTATTGTTTTATTTAAATTCATTCCCTTTGTTTTTTTATTGTTACTCTATTGCTTTCTCTCCCTGTTTTATATTATTCGCCCTCTACACATCTCTTTCTTGCACCCTGACGCCCCCCCCCCCCCCCCACTCCCCCGCGCAACCCCACTGTAAACCCTTTGAACCATGTGATCGTGTTGTATTCTTTAGTTGTAAACAATCGTGGCGAGAGTGATCTCCCCTGATCCATTTATAACCACAGGGCGTTGCATGCTAATCTAAGTGGAACAGGCGCGAGGGGGAGGGGGGGGGGAATAAATCGGTTTTTTTTTAATCAAGTCGTTTTAAAACTCCTTGGATTCATGCTATATCACGAATTTCTATTACATGCTGTTTATATATTGGTGTAAAAAGCTTGTGACGTGTTTTTTTTTTTTGGGGGGGGGGAGGATTTTTTTAGCATAAGTGGAAGGTGTAATCTTAAAATCTTTCTAAGTGGGTGAAGGAATTAAATAGGATATTAAGCGTGTCTTTATGTAAAGTTTATTTTTAAGAAAGAAAAACATTTTTGTAGTGGGGACGACGGCGTTTTAAGTTTTAGAAAAAAACCTGTGTGTTTGTTTTGACAAGAGAGATTGCTACACTGAGTATTTACCCCCCCCCCCCACACACACACCCCGCCCCGCACACACCCACCCCCTAAGGTAAACGAAGACAACTGACATTTCCATCTGTCTGAAAAGTTCACCGTAAACGGTGTCTAGTATCGTTGGAATATATTATCGATTTTTTTTCAGTATCGCGCATCTCTAGTTCGTCTCTGGTATCGAAGTTTAGTATCTCTAGTGTCTAGTATGCTGCGTAATATAATCGATTTCCAGTATCGTATGTCTCTAGTATTGTTAGTTTTTAAAATCTAACGAGTGTACTGTATAGATGGTGTCAAGTCTTGCTGGAGTATCGTTTGTCAAGAGTTTCGCTTACATCAAGTATCGTTTGTCCGTGGTATCGTTGAACTGGATGGAATCGTTAAGGACTATTGTCTGTGGGTTTTAAGTATCGCCGTGTGGCCTATACCTTCAATCTGTCAGTGGTTGTGTGTGTGTGAAGTGGTTCGCTTTACTTTCGCCCCCCCCCCATCTTTATTTAACGGCTTTAAAGGTTTAATAATAATATTTTAAAAACTGCTGTATCGCGTGGTACTGATGGTGTCTTTGACATAGGATGAACACAAAATAGATTGCTGGAGGTTCATTGAGAGGATTAAAACAAAACACAAGCTCAACCCCTCCCCCCTTACTCCCACTTCCGACCATTCTAAAACAACACACTATACTTTTATATTTTTATAAGGGGAGGGGGGGGGGTAAATCCTTCACATAAACACTTTTCAAATCTTGTAAATATTTTTTTTAAACTTATCTATCTTGCACAAACCAAAACAGCTTTCAATTAAATCTTGCACAAACCAAAACACCTTTCAATTAAATCTTGCACAAAACAAAACACCTTTCAATTAAATCTTGCACAAACCAAAACTTGTTTCTTTCATTCAGCAGGTGAGGCCTAGCCCTAGATGTCCAAGAGAAGACAACTCTAGTATTTTTTTTCATTTCCTACCAAACAACTGACGTGTTTGAACTGCAGTGACGGCCCTTGAGTCCCACTTGGTGGATATTCAGCTCTATAAGCAGATGGTCATTTCTTGTAAGGGGAGAGCACTGGTTAAACAAAAGGGGAGAGAATTCCTCAATGGGAAGTAACCCATGTGGGACTATTTTTTTTTTCTCAGGAAGTTTAATCATATCTGGTGCTAACATTTTTTTTTTCCTGTAACTCCTGCGCTTGATTAAATATGCTACATCAAGTCGCAGGTTCGAATTCCACTCAGGATGCACTAACAAATGAGACGATGTGAAGGGGTTAACAAAAACGTCACTGGTATAATTCTCATTCCTAATGTTCATGTTGTTTTGTTTTTTTTAATTGACGATTTAATGTCATTATGAGCCAGAACTAACCAGCCTAAGGAACTCATGGAGTTCTTGAATGTTTCATATCACAATATATTTTCTATCTCTTGTAAGCCTGCTTGACTTATTCATCTCTTATTGTTGTAGATGTTCACTGTACACCTACTATTGGACATGTCCCATTTTTTAAAAACTATTGGTCGTTTTTTTTTTTGTTTCTTCATGTATGCTTTAGCCTGTGGTCAGTTGGGTGAATGCCACTGGTCAGTTATTCTGGCCATTTGTCAGTGATTTTGCGGTCATTGATTGTCAGCACCGTACGGTACTGTATGACCCGTTGGTTAGTGCTTTTATAATATGAAATTGTTTTAAGATAATGAAGAAGTTGTTGATTTTTTTTTTATACTTGTAATTGTTTTTTTCTATAACTGAAATATTATTTATACTCATTATGTATGGTGTAAACTTTAAGCCTAATTTTTCTTGGAGGTAAATATTGCTGGGTAGATTATTTTTTTTCTGTTGAGATAACCAATATACGTTTTGTATGTTGGAATCTATGGGGTAACCATGACAACAAGAGAGGAGAACCCCCTAGAGGGTTAAGTTTTTTCTTCTTCCAGGATGTGCAATATTTATGATTTTTTTTTTTAATTAAAATTTTGGCAAGCCAAGAAGACGAAATTGTGATGTAGCTATCAGCATTAATGAGACAGTGTTAATTAGATGTTAATGAGGTAAATTAGGCAAGTTTTCACCTGTATTCCCCATGTAACCATATCTACACCTGACAACTAGACATATCAGTCATCTAATCCAGACCTGACTTACATACATACATCTATTTGATCTTTGATTCTACTTAAGGCTACCTGTGGCTACATGGCATCCTGTGGCTGTAGTGGCTACAGGGCATTCTGTGGCTACTGGCTACAAGTTATTCACTGGTGAGGTAGTCTCTTAACTCAGATAAAAATTACTTAGTTAGAAACATGTACAAAACTTAATAAAGACCAGGGTGTTGATTCTCTGGCTACCTGTAACCATCTCTGGCTACCTGTGGCTACCTGTAACCATCTCTGGGTACCTGTAGCCATATATGACATGTAGCCAGCAAATGCCTGATGGCTTAAACCAGCTTGTTAGTGTAGTGTACAGGTCATCTTAGTACCTGGTCATTTAGACCTTTTTAGACTGCTGACATTTAGACCTGTTTGTTGACATTTAGACCTGTTTAAAGTGTTGACATTTAGACCTGTTTGTTGACATTTAGACTTAGTTGAAATGTTGACATTTAGACCTGTTTAAAGTGTTGAAATTTAGACTTGTTTAAAATGTTGACATTTAGACCTGTTTAAAATGTTGACATTTAGACTTGTTTAAAATGTTGACATTTAGACTTGTTTAAAATGTTGACATTTAGACCTGTTTAAAATGTTGACATTTAGACTTGTTTAAAATGTTGACATTTAGACTTGTTTAAAATGTTGACATTTAGACTTGTTTAAAATGTTGACATTTAGACTTGTTTAAAATGTTGAGACTTCTGCTGTAAACATTTGCCATTTTTCTCATGAAATAAATATGAATGATAAACATTCTATTTCTTTTTGTTGTGCATTGAACAATTGTAGATCAGTGTCAAGTTTGTGGAATACATGTACACAGTTTAATATTGAAGTAAATCGATGACACACACGAATACCCAAACCTACTCACACACACATACCCAAACCTACTCACACAGATACCCAAACCTACTCACACACAGATACCCAAACCTACTCACACACACACATACCCAAACCTACTCGCACACATATACCCAAACCTACTCACACACACATACCCAAACCTACTCACACACATATACCCAAACCTACTCACACACATATACCCAAACCTACTCACACACATATACCCAAACCTACTCACACACACATACCCAAACCTACTCGCACACATATACCCAAACCTACTCGCACACATATACCCAAACCTACTCGCACACATATACCCAAACCTACTCACACACACATACCCAAACCTACTACTCACACAGATATTCCCAAACCTACTACTCACACATATACCCAAACCTACTACTCACACAGATATTCCCAAACCTACTACTCACACAGATACCCAAACCTACTCGCACACATATACCCAAACCTACTCACACACACACATACCCAAACCTACTCGCACACATATACCCAAACCTACTCGCACACATATACCCAAACCTACTCGCACACATATACCCAAACCTACTCACACACACATACCCAAACCTACTACTCACACAGATATTCCCAAACCTACTACTCACACAGATACCCAAACCTACTCACACAGATACCCAAACCTACTCACACACACATACCCAAACCTACTACTCACACAGATATTCCCAAACCTACTACTCACACAGATACCCAAACCTACTCGCACACATATACCCAAACCTACACACACACACATACCCAAACCTACTCGCACACATATACCCAAACCTACTCGCACACATATACCCAAACCTACACACACACACATACCCAAACCTACTCACACATATACCCAAACCTACACACACACACATACCCAAACCTACTCGCACACATATACCCAAACCTACTCGCACACATATACCCAAACCTACACACACACACATACCCAAACCTACTCGCACACATATACCCAAACCTACTCGCACACATATACCCAAACCTACACACACACACATACCCAAACCTACTCGCACACATATACCCAAACCTACTCACACACATATACCCAAACCTACTCACACACACATACCCAAACCTACTCGCACACATATACCCAAACCTACTACTCACACAGATATTCCCAAACCTACTACTCACACAGATACCCAAACCTACTACTCACACAGATATTCCCAAACCTACTACTCACACAGATACCCAAACCTACTCGCACACATATACCCAAACCTACTCACACACAGATACCCACACAGAACTTTCACACATAGAATGCCTAATTCCTCATGTTACAAAAACGGTTTAAAATTTCATTGATAAAATATAAACATAAAAAATTAATCAAACTCTAGTTTCATTACCATCAACAATAATTAGATTAAAGCTTAAAACAGATAATTAAATTAAGCTGTTGGGTAATTAATAATTAATAAACAAAACATTTGAGTAATAACAGGGCCACTTATAAATCAATCTCTAGGGGTCAATGTGATATATCGAGGTGCAGACAAGATATGTATGACAGACAAGATATGTATGACAGACTGGATATGTATGACAGATAGGATATTATGACATACAAGATATGTATGACATACAAGATATGTATGACAGATAAGATATTATGACAGACAAGATATGTATGACAAGATATGTATGACAGATAAGATATTATGACAGACAAGATATGTATGACAAGATATGTATGACAGATAAGATATTTATGACGGATATCATATGTATGACAAGATATGTTGGACACACAAGATATGTATGACAGACAGGATATGTATGACAGACAAGATATGTATGACAGACAAGATATGTATGACAGACAAGATATGTATGTTTTCTTCTCCGTTCTTACTTGTGTGGTTGGAAGGGCTACTCTCCAACACAATTAGTATTACGTGTCATCATGTATGTTTCATATGGCCCGTTGTTTCCGATTTCAGCCTGCTTTTCTTTCTGGATTAGCTTCCGTAGCCTTAGCCCAATTAAAAAACAAACTAAAAGGCAGCAAACATTTTATTTTGGAGTTTTCTCTCCTAGATGGGTTTCTGTCCTGTGGACAGCAATGCTGTGTGGTGTGGATGTGGTAGGGTGGAGTGTGTTGTGGGTGTAGTGTGGTTTGTGTGGTGATGGTGTGATTGTGATGAGGTGATGGTGCGGATGTGGTGGGGTGTGGTATGTGGTGATGGTGTGGATGTGGTGATTGTGCGATTGTGATGAGGTAATGGTGTGGATGTGGTGATGGTGTGACGGTCGATCCTACTGAGGGTCCTCTCGTGACGCCTGACTACACGTGTAGGCCTACCTATAGATCCACCCTTTACAACCTGCTAGACAACTCCAGCCAAGAACCTTCTACTCACAGCAATGACAGCCCGAAGATAACAATGATGAAAACAGCAAAGAAAACTAGTTACAGGGCTGGATGTTTTGGCTGGGGGGGGGGGTTCTATACGAATAGTTCTATGGCTATAACATTGTGATAATGGCATAGGTACCCCCCCCCCCCGAAATAAATATAATTTATATAGAAAATATGTACTTTTACTACTGTCCTCCTCTCCCCCCCCCCCCCACCACCGGAAATTTTGTTTCAAGTGCCCCCCCCCCCTCCCAAGACAAAAGTCTGGAAAAAACACTGCTCGTAAATTCGTAAAGCGTTTCTTTTAAGCTCTCCCTGGAATAAAGGAGTGTATACCCTCCCTCCCCCTCCTCCTTTTTGGGTAGGTCCATATGCGAATTTTTTTATAATGGATAATTTATATTGAAAATCTCTAACCTGGAAAATGAAAGAACTGTCGGCTACTCAAATGTTTTAAATATTGTAATGTTCTGAGCTACAGCTTAAAGCCGTTATAAATCAGTATAATAGACAAATAAAAAGCTATATAGATCTACTAATATTTATAAAATGCTTATATAGGCTATATAAATAGCCCATATGTAAAAAATGTAAAAACAAAACAGTGAGTTATTTACCAACTAACCCGCCCTGACTTTTGACCCCTGCCACGAACAATGACTCCGTCTCACCCCGCAGCTCTGAAGACAGCGGTCCTCTCCCCTGACCTATAAGCCAAATAACACAACCGGCCCGCGATTCACGCGCTGAGAAATCCCCTTCCGAGTTAATTTTTGACATGATTGTTCGGCCTCTTCATGTGAGATACAAGTCTAGCAAGTCCCCCCATTCCCCTTTCTCTCTTTCACGTCCCCGCTCATTTCACCCCCCCCCCTCTCCCCTTCCTCTTACAAGCTTGCGGGGTTTCCTTTCCTCACAATTTTAGCAGATGCTTATCCCGAGCCGGAACTACTTTCTTGTCTGGGCCGAGGCAAAGGCGAGCTCACAACAACAAAAAAAAAATCAAGGGGAGGCTACTACTGGTAGTTTTGTACGGCTTCGTCTAGCTTGAGCCCTGAGGTTTTTCCGACGCAGACGTGAAACGGGTCTACCCTTAATTTTTAGACGATTGTGATGTCATTCTCGGGGAATCAACCGGCCCCTGTGATTTATAGCAATCGAGATGAATTACCCGCCCTTGGTTTTAGTCCTGAGGGCGAAGAGGAGTTGTAACGTATCATCCTTCATGGTTGTGGATCAATTGTCTAGTCGTCGCCCCCCTCCCCCCCCTCTTCCACACTTTCCTTCCGGGGGTGGTGTTATCGTGCCGCACTGTTCTGGTGGAACTTGAAACAACTTCCTGTTTGTTTATAGATCTACAAACAAGCAAACTTTTATTAGTTTTATGTGAAGTACATGTTGGCTTGTGTGTGTGAGAGAGAGATAGCAAATACTTCAGATAGATATAGTTCATGAACTTTGTAAAGGATTATGACTGGATCAAGAATGCTTGTTTTCTGGTTTAAGTTTACGAATAAAATATATCTTTTTTTTTCGCTCTGTTAGTTTGAAGCGCTGTTTCTTAGGCATACCCCCCCCCCCCCCCGAACAAGTTAGAATTTATTTAGGCACTATAAACTATTACCAGTGTCCATCCCCACCCTTGAAATTTAAAGTGCGTCGTGTCGTCGTTCGTCCCCGTCCCCCCTCTCCCCATCCGCGAGGAAAAAAAGTCTAAAAGAAACACCTATTTGAAGAATTCGAAGGTGATGTTAACTATTGTTACGAGTCTGATAGTCAGATAATTTTAGACTAGGGTTAGTGTTTAAGTATCGTTACCTTCGATACTGCTTGTAGGAATATTCGGGAACGGGTATTCGACATTTTTATAAATGTCGTAACAAACACATGGAAATTTTTTCTAGCGTT